AGATAAATATCTGTCTCTAAGACGCGGCAGGATGTATGGTGCCTTTATAGATTTGAAAGGAGCGTTCGACTCTGTGTATAGGAATGGCTTACTCTTCAAATTGTGGAAAGGAGGTATTAATGGTCGAATGTTTAGATTAATTCGTAATATATATAGATCTGTAAAGTCCTGCATTTCTCTAGAAGGTGATATACACAGTTCTTCGAGTGCTACTCTGGTGTTAGACAGGGATGCCAACTGTCGCCTTTTTTGTTTTCATGCTTCATCAATGATATTGTGGAATTTTTCAATTGTGAGGGAGCTCATGGTGTAACTATAAGTCCTTTGGAATTATTTATTCTATTGTTTGCAGATGACATTATCTTGTTAGATGTAACAGCTAATGGCCTACAGAAACGTCTTGACCAACTTTCTTTATATTGTGATAAAAAGAAATTGACTATGAATACTCAAAAAAGCAAAGTGATTGTATTCAGGAATGGCGGCAAACTTAGATCTTATGAAAAGTTTAGGATTGGAGATTCTGTCATTGACATAGTCCCTAGTTATAAATATCTAGATGTGCAGTTATCGTCCTCTGGTTCTTGGTATCTTACTCAAAAGACTTTGGCACAACAGACATGGAAAGTAGTTCTAATACTACAATCAACACTGGGAATATTCTCGACAATCCCAGCTCGTGTCTGTTTTAAATTTTTTGATATAAATGTATTGCCAATTTTAAATTATGGAGCAGAGGAATGGGGATTTCATCCTTCACCCAATATTGAAAATGTACACGATCGTTTCTGTAAACAAGGTCTGAGCTTGAATAGAAACAACCCTAACATAACTGCAAGAGGTATTGTGAATAGAACATCAATCAAGGTTTTGCATTCCATAAAAATTTAAAAATTCTGGTTAAGGTAATTGTCACAACAGGTTAATGTTATCATGAAGGGTTCTTATGATTTTCATCAGAAGGGCAGAAAATGGTAAAGCTTGTTGGGCTACTAATGTTAAATCTTTGTTATTTACATAAGGCTTTGGGGAAGTTTGGTTACAGCAAGGTGTTGGAAATAAAAATGCATATTCTATTGTGTTTTAAGCAAAGATGTAAAGATATCAGCCAACAAACATGGAATAATAATTTAGAATGTTATTCTAAGCTGGAATATTTTTGCTCTGTCAAGGAAAATTTTAATTATGAACATCTGACTAATTGTATTGATATAGCCATCTATCAAACAACACTTGTGAGGTTTGACTAATCTAAACATAATCTATTGGTAGAGGCAGGTAGGCATTATAAAATACCAAGGCCAGAACGTCTTTGTCCGTTTTGTATTGTGCCATACATAGAAACTGAATTCCACTTTTGTCTCCAGTGTCCATTCTATTCGAATTTAAGGGGACAGGTACTTCCTAAATAGTATTGCATAAGTCCAACTCTGAATAAACTAACACAATTATATAGCTGCAACCTCTATGTTATAAGAAGATTTGCAAAGTATGTATTTCTCGCTCTCAAGAAAAGGAACACTCTTCTTAAAGTTGTGCCTGTTATGTAGTACTATGCCATTGTAACAATATGAGACTGGTTGGGGCCCGATCCACGGGGCGTTTGTGGGTTATGACCGGCCTTAGTAACCTTTTGTGCATCCTTCTCAGCACTCCGATGAGTGTTGACTACTTGTTCGTGGCTCGCGGGCGCTTTTGTGAATCGGTTCCCTGATGTAATAATCAGCGCTCTCTGTACATGTGAACTGACTAATCCAATGTACCTTGTATAATGGGCCGGTGGCCCCTTTACGGAATAAACGCATTCGCATTTATACACGCACATGCACACGCACACTCATGAAAATGTGTAAAAATGTGTGTGTGTGTGTGTGTGTGTGTGTGTGTGTGTGTGTGTGTGTGTGTGTGTGTGTGTGTGTGTGTGTGTGTGTGTGTGTGTGTGTGTTTGTGTGTTTGTGGGATCCTCAAAGTCCTCCGATGCTAATTCCTGTACAAAAATACATAATGAAAAATATACGTTAAAGAATGTCATTCCTTTCCGCGTTCATATAACAAATACAACCTCTTTGTTTGTGAAGTACGGCATGACACTGAGTGATTGGATGTACTTCATGTTGTGTTACATGCTGACATTTCCTCATCAAGTGTTAAGTCCGCAAGTGACGTGATAGCGTGTGTGTGGGTGTTGACGTCATGGAGTAATCCATGGCATGACATCCGATGATGGTGGGGGAGAATTATTCACATTGCGTTAAGGATATGGCCGCACTTATTTTGGTTATTGTCACAGATCATTTTTGTTGTTGCTTCTTTTCGATTGGCTAGTTCATGCCAAGTGTTTATTTGTTTTCGTTGTTTGCGAAGCGTCCCATAGCAACGTGATATCACAGCAATACATTGTCGCAAATACATAAATATGACGTCACCATTGTTCATGACGTCATACGCAGTTTCATTTTGCGTCATTTCAACAACTGATTGACTGGGCTTATGTCACCCCTCGAGAAACCAACATATGTATATTTTCCCAAAAAAAGGACCATGGATAATATATAGAATAATGAACTCTTTTTCCAGCTGACATTTCTTTCGGTTATGGGAACTTTTTTGTCACTTTTATTTGTATCACCTATAATATATATTTTACAAAATGATCGAATGCAAAGTATCTACACAAATATTCATATAGACGATTAAGATCAATTATCCAAATATGAACATATCAAGTATAGTAGACTCTGTGTAATCCGGCATCTGTTAAATCCGACATCAAGTCTCATTCCACAAAAAATTGAATCCCGACACAGATCCTATCATTATCATATAAAACAACTCCCACATGTGTCTATTCGGACGTCCGACACTGATTGATTGATTGAATGTTTGTTATTTAACGCCGTATTCAGCAATATTCAAGCTATAAGACGGCGATCTGTAAATAATCGCGTCTGGATTAAACGATCCAGTGATTGACATCATGAGCATCGATCCACGCAATAGGGATACGATGACATGCAAGTCAGCGAGCCCGACCACCCGATCCCATTAGTCACCTCTTACAAGCTTTGTCGCCTTGTACGGCAAGCATGGCTTGCAGAAGAGTCAGTCCGACACTGGTTTGAGCAAATCCACTATGTGTAGTCAACACGAAGGTTAATCCGTAAAAAATATTAAATATAAGGTCATTAATATACCATAATCAGATGTATATTGTTCGGCCTCGAGTCATACTCAGTCATTATACCAATATTATGTTGTATTAGGATAAGGGACTGATTGTCCCGGCTTTCTTTTGAATAAACCAATCTATCTGTCTGCTAGTCCTTCATTGTTTCTTTAATTTATGGTCAGGATTACATATCAAGTGAGTGCATCATTTCAGCCGTGTTTAATCCGACATTTCCCCTCGGTCCCAATGTGTCCCTCACTTAATAATATAGACTAATCTATTGTTTAATAATGCATAATCTTCTCGAACACACCAAAGAACAGGACTATACAGACTGACATGGCTTCATAAAAAGTTCACTCAGCACGATCGCCATCAGCTGTTAGCCTCTGGGGTTTTCACGACGTTCTTTGGGCTTGTTTAACGTTTTCTCTCATGTTGTGTCGTATCTATACAGCAAACATGCTTTTTGCCGTTGACTCATTGAGTTACGAACATGGTGTATGCTAATATTTTAAAATATGTACATTTCATTTATTAAAAAATAGAGAGATCTCCCCCCTCAACCCATTTCTGAATAAAAGAAACGACAGGCCACCTCAGCGCAAGCATGTCTTGGATATATCCGATTTATTACAGTTCTCTTACTTACCCATTGTCAAGCTTTAAAATGACATTCCAAAGAGTGAGTAAGTGTGGTTTTACTCCCTTTTAGCAAAATTCCGACAAAATAACGGCTGTGGGCACAAGAAATGGCTGTACCCATGTGGGGAATCGGCGTGACGAGCGAACACTATAACCACTAGGCCACTCAACCGCCCTTCTCAACAGAGAATATCTTTCCATGGTATATTATTACATGTACCCTTTTCAAGTATGACTTTTTCCGGAGTATTTACTCTAACATGATGTCTAATTGTTTCATGAATTATAAAATATGAAACAATCGAGACAAGACAGTCGGGGCGAAACAATCGGCACACAATCGATATAAATGTATAGTTATTAATTTAAATTCTATCAAACGTCGCTTTCACGGACTGAGAATTCGTGCTTAGAGTGCATCAGAGAGTCCTATACCCACTAAAGAGAGCGAGTGAGTGAGTGAGTGAGTTAGTGAGTGAGGTTTAACGCGGCTTTTAACATTATTCCAGTTATATCATGGCTTGTTAGCTTAATGTGGGAGGAAAGCACCGGAGTGATGGAGGTCTCAGACCTTTACCACTTTGGTGAAATCCACGAGCACGGGTATGTTGCTGAAAAACCTAGAAACATAATTGGGGCGAATCGGGATTCGAACCCACGATCATAGGTTTCTGGCGTGCCCAAGGGACGCGAGTCTGCACAGCGAATTGCGGCGCCTTAGACAACTGCCCCCCCCCCCCCCCACACACACACACACACACACACACACACATACACACTAAAGAGAAATAAATAGGGCAAATTCGCTTCATCACATGGGCAGTCTCTATAATGGGAAACTTGACAGTTTTAGTATATTCTCTTAATCATATATTAGAAGAGGGTTTCTTGTTTGTTTGTTTTATTGATGTTAAGCACCGCATTTAGGATACGGCGACATGCAATTAAACATTTCAGCGAGCCCGACCACCCGATCCCGTTAGTCGTATCTTACGACAAGCATGGATTGCTGAATATTAATTCTATCTAGGATCGTCCCTTGTTTGGTTTGAGGAAATCGAAGTTATTTAAAAATTTTCTGTTAAAAGTAAAAAGTGACATTAAATGATTAAATGACTGACGTTGAACCCAACGGGAAGTAGAATTTGTTTATGAGGACGTCATACATTACTGGTTTACATAACTATCGTCCCGCCACTCAACTAGACAACTCGTCCATAAAGATACCTGTCTGGTGTGCACGTTGGGGTAAGTCTCGTTAGTCTAAAATCCTACTTGAAATATACAACTAGACAAAAGAAAGTATACACCCATGTTTGGTTGCTGAAAATGAAAACGAAATGTTATCGGGTATCGTAGTTTTGTTTTGGACCGTAAGTTTGCTGTGTCTCGGCGAGTGTTGTAAGCCTAGTAATGTTTCATAAATTTTTTTATTTCTTTGGTCAATTACAAGTGGACACTTTCTTTTGTCCGGCAGTTTACACTTTGAGGTTGATGCATAACCGAAACATTCTTTTACTTCAAAACAACGCATGGCTATTTAAGAAGTTCACTTGCTTATTCTTTGTATTGGCATGCATATCGCGCGTGAAGTCAAAATATGGAATTGCATGGGATATGTCTTCCATAAAACCAAGGCCATGAAAGTTAGAACCCTGATCAAACACGTTCTGATCAAGAGTCGTATGAGACTCTTTGAAATCCTCGCAGAATGATAATGCTTTGTGGTACCTGACAACTTGAAATGTAGACATATAGATAATCGCACCCGTGTGACTTTTGATATCAAATATATCAACACAAGTTGAAAAAGTGGAAAAACTCCGAGGCTTGCCGAGGATTTTTTTCACTTTTTCAACTTGTGTTGATATATTTGATATCAAAAGACACGAGGGTGAGATTTTATTTATCATCCAACATCAGTCTTTCAACTTTTTCAGTTTGTAGACAGAAATCAGCAGTGTCTTAAGTGTAAAAAGTACTGCTAACAGCTTCAGTAGCAGAGCCATTAGTGATGTCATTTGATTGTGACGTCCAGGTAACCAATGACGTCACAATGGTCTGCAAAGCATTGTGATGCAATTTCATGGCAGCGATATCTAAACTGGAGATGTCGCTTGATCTCACCCAAGCGATATCTCCTGTGGGAGCCAGTTTTGGATGATAAATGAATGTAGACACCAATCACTGGAGCTGCTGGAATATTGCTCCACATAAAGGGAAAGTTGACTACTTGAAAGTTGAAGCCATTATTCTGTCATACATTCTTGGTTTTTGTCAGTCTGACTCTTCGTGCACAGATCCAAACATGCAACAGGTGACTGATCTCTTTATGTTTAGGTCAGTGGATAAATCGGTTGAAGGGAATTGGATAAATGACCATTAATATTTGAAACGATATCATATTATCGATACACCTAAAGCTTAAATATCAACTTCCTGAGCGAAGTTATGTTCGCATAGGAAAATGGAACTGTTGCTGCTTTCTGAAATTTGAAATATTGTGGAACATTTAGGGAAAACTGATTTTCCCCCGAGAATGTTACTTATGTTTAAAGCATCAATTCCCTTGCTTTTAAATTTAGAAACATGCAGGGGTCTTTTTTCTGATTGAGTGGTGTCTGTTTCTGGTTTGGCCAAATGCTTCAAAGCAATATAAAGAACGCACTTCATAATTGTTAAATATATTGACAAAATCTTCATGCTACTAAAGTCTTTTCAGTGTTTTGATTCGAAATATTTCGACATTAGCAATTGTCGAACCAAGATGATGTAACTACATGATATGTGTAAAGGCTGACAGAGCTGTTATCTAGGTTCGGGAACTTGCTCACATTTGGATAGCCCGTCTAGATCTTTAGGGTTGGATACCACTTGCTAATGGAACCAACTTAACGAGTTAATCCAATGTAATTTGAGTTTTTATTAACTTTCGATTTTCGTGGACTCTCCTAACCGGGTACTGTTCAAAGCGGCGCTAAGGCAAACTCATTATCATAAGTTATCCTTTCGCATGTTAAACTTATAATGTCTTATCTGGTCAATATACAAATACTTGGATTCTCAGGACGTTTCGCTAAACTATGACTTGGCTATTGATTGTTCTTGTAAATAGCAGATATGATGACTTCCGCCGGAAGATGGGCCCTCTGGGTGTTGACTTCCGGTTTTGTATTTGTGACAACACAACCTCCTAATGGTAAGTGGCCCCCATGACACCTTGTTTCAGAGCAGCCATATTTTCCAATGTCCAAAGTTTTTATGCGAGAAGTAGACCATTGTTATATTAGAAGAAATGAGCTTCATTTCTCAACCGGATGAGAGCATTCTTGCAATAATCAGAAAAGTGCATGGATATGTATACTCAACAACAACAGTTCCTGTGACACCAATATTTTAGTGTATTTTTTAAACAAGTAAAGTTTGGTTTTCAATATTGTAGTACATGTATGGAATCAAGTCACAAAAAAGCAACTTCTACAGAAAAGCATGCATTCCATGCAAAAGTTGACTTTTATGCAAGCCCCATGCATTTCACTACCCAAGAATGGGTATAAAAACATGTGTGTTAACTGGATTCCATATGCATTGTTTAGTGAGTGAGTTAATATTTAACGTCACATCGGCAATATTTCAGCCATATCGTGACGAGTGCATTGTTTAGCATCGTGCTGATAACAACCACTCAGAAAAACAACAAAATTACGCAATTATTCAACATTGCGAAATGCCACGCCTTTCCGAAAATGAGCGTCTGCGAGCCATTGTATGCTTGAAGCAGGATCGAGTCAACGTGATGCTGCAAGACAATTTAACGTCCACAGAAACACCATTTGGTGTTAATGGCAACGTTGGCAACAGACGAATGCAGTCAGAGACCATCCTCGGAATGGCAGGCCACGCGTAACCAATAATCGACAAGACAACTGGATTCGAACAACACACCTACGAAATCGATTCCAGCCAGCAACAGTGACTGCAAGAAGCATCCCTGGCCTTCGACGAATATCTTCACAAACCGTGCGTCGCCGCCTCAGATTTGCAGGGAACATCGAAACATGCTCCAGCAGATATGGACACTCAGATATCACACAGGACTTTGTGCGACGCGTGGTACTTCCACGAGACGAAGATGTGTTGCTTGCATCCAGAGGTGGACACACACGCTATTGATTTGTAATTTGATATTTTGGCATGTTCATGTTTTTCATGAAATAACGCATTTTCTAAAGTCAGTATGGCAAATTAAACCATTTGAACACTTACAGGAGTCTTTTATCTGATGCAAACCGAAATTGTTTCAGATTTGGTAAAAAACATAACTTTGCATTAAATCTTATTCAGTGTCACAGGAACGTTTGTTGTTCAGTATATAATTTGAGTTTATCAGTGATTGTAAAGACATACTTGGATAAATTCAGAATTTATCTTTAAAAACGAGACCGAGAGAAGCCTTATTGGCTTTATCGAATATGTTCGATAGTCCCGAAGATCTCGAGTTAACGAGGGGTTCACTGTGAATTGAAGAACATAGTACACATTTCACGTGTTGCTTTTTCAATCTCTTGTCTAAGTAGCCTTAGGCACTGAAATTCGTTGTGGGGAGTTGTCTCCCTTCGGCGTGCAAGGACGTGGTTATCGTTAGTTCAAATCTCAGCTTCGTCCTGATTTTGATCCTCGTTTTCCAGGACCAACTGTACCCCCGTGCTCGCACATTTCTACTCCGTGACATGAGCCTTTGTTTTAATATAGTGTGCTTGTTTATTATGGTTGTATTACCTTTCAGTTGACGGACAAGCGGACCTCACCGTCCGCCAAGCCGCTGCCTTTACTGGGGGGCGGGACACAACAGTTACTGTCGATATAGGAATGTCCTTCCTTGCTGCAAGCACCCAAACGTAAGACATCTATTCCTCCATACAGTTTGGTAGTAAATCTAAAGCATTATATAATATGTTTTAAATAAAAGCGACAAAGCCGTTTCCATTTTAATAAGAAATGTGTGCCAAAGAACGAACGTAAAAGATGGGTTAAGATCTGTCTATCATTGAAAAACACGGGGAGTTTGGCAATATTGTTTGAGTATTACAATGTTGACAGATACCACCTCTTCTGCCTGACCTGTGAAGATCCGGATGGAGGTCATCAGCAAGCAAAAGCGACTATGCTTGTCGTAAGAGGCGACAAACGGGATCGGGTGGTCAGACTCGCTGACTTGGTTGATGCATGTTTTTGTGTCCCAATTGCGTAGATCGATGCTCTTGATGTCAATCATTGGATTATCAAGACGCGATAATTTACAAACCGCCGTCATATATATACATAGTAGAATATTGCTGAGCTCGGCATTAAACAATAAACGAACGAACCTCCCTCTTTTGCCAATATGGGTTATGTGGTAAAAGTTCAAATTGGTATTTTATCCAGGTATGTTATTACTTGTCAGTGGCTTATTGATAAGCATCAGTTTCATTGACAAAACTGTTGGCTGTGTGTAGTGATATCTTCTGTTTGTTGAGGTAAGTATCTCTAATCTCGGTCAGGAAAGATGTTTTATATTATTACTCGTTGAGCTTACAACTTTCTCCCAAAACATAAGTAAATACGTATAATGCAGATATTACGTCCAAAATTCAGTCTACATTGTGTATGTCGAGCTGGAGTATATCTCGAAGTAAATCCGACCGCCTCCGGTTATGGTCAAAGATTACATATATGTTGATGCCATTTTTTGTACATCCAGATCTAGGTTTTCTGATACTCCTTTTCCCCAAATGGACGACATATGTGCGCCTATAAATGTGACGGCGCCATGTGATGTATGGAGCCCTTACAGGACTCCCAGCGGCGTCTGTAACAACCTAGCCAACCCGAGATGGGGAAAGGCTCCAACTCAAATGAGACGTTTTCTACCGCCTGTCTACCAAGACGGTAGGTTAGAAATATATACGTGTTTTGACTCGGAATGGAATTAAGAACATTTGGATAGTTTTATCCACCTGAAGACATCATATGTTATGTAAATACTTATGCCACTATTTTAAGTTGAATATTTGGACTTAGGGCCTATCGTTAGAATGGCGTTTGTGAGATATATATAAATTAACGTATAATTTTGGCACGTAGTCTTACAATGATTCCAGAATATTCAGGTTATCTGCAGATCCCAATTCAGGAGAAACAAACTGTCATAGATTGTAAACTCGAGGTGAAGACGTTTCCAATTGCTCTTTCGTTTCTTATGCATTTTCAAGTTGAATTTGACACGTGGGTAATGTATATATTATCTGTGGTAAATTCAACATGACAGTGATGTCAACACGTCGTTCAGGACGTGTGTCCATTGGTTGTTACAATGATAAAGTAAGAAGAAACATAGGAACGTTTATATAACATGTTTATTACAAGGTAATTAATGCTTCGAGCAAAGTCATTTACAGGCAACCTAATAATCTCTCCCAGGTAACGTTTACGTTGTGGAAAAGCATGCCAAATCTCTGAGAATTTTTTTTAAAATTGTCGAAAATACCCGTGAAGATTCGGGTTAGAATTGGACCTCAGCTTGTCGACAGGCGACTAATGTGATCGGTGTTCACTCTAGCTGACTTGGTTGATGCGCCTCATCGTATCTCAATTGTGTAGATCGATGCTCATGATGGCTATCACTGCATTGTCTTGTCCAGACTCGATCTTTTACAGACCGCCGTCATATAGCTGGAATATTGCCTTTTGCGGCGTAAATCAACAGATGAACAAACCTTATTTCCGTGACGCCCATCTATATATAGCTGTGTAATGTATCAGCAACTATTATTCTATGAGGACTGCATTTATCATGAACCCGGACGCACAATCATCCCATGATGACATGTCCCGCCTCCTACATCCCGGACCCATCTATTAACAATATTAATGCAAGCTGTAGGCGAATATGTATTCTCGACACAAATTTTCCCAGTTTGCATAAATACTACAATTATGCTATTTAATAACTCAATCATTTAATTACAACCCCGGGCAAGGTATGACCATCCGACCTTCCTTCAATTTGGATATATATATATATATTATGTGAGCAAATTTTGTTTCTATGAAATGTTACAGTCACCATCTTAGGACTACAGTGAGCATAAAATGTAATTATCAACCCCGAGCTAACTTTCAGGCAAGGATGATATGTCCGACCTTACTTGATTTCGGAACTATCTGCATACGATGTATATGAATTGTGTCAGAAAAAAATCTATTCCGTAAACAGGTTATTATCAACTCCGACATTGAGGAAAGCTCTGATGATACATCACATTTTACATCTCACTTTAGCGATATTATGCTAAAATATGTTTAGAAATAATTCACACTGTCAGTCTTATAATACAAACAGGTACATAAACCGGGCAAAAGAAAGCATACAGCCATGTTTGATAGTGGCAAAAATGAAACAAACAAGACATGGTTATTCGATGCTGATGTGGTATCCTAGTTATTTCTTTGGCCTTAAGGGGGGCACGGTGGCCGAGTCGTCTAAGGCGCCGCGATTCGCTGGGCCATTATTGTTTCAACAACTAAAATGAAGAAAAACGTATCAAATATCATTTCACTGAAGTCAGTCTTTCTGGTTGCCTCACGTTATGAACTTATAAAGCGCTATGAACAAAACAGCAATGTGACGTCATATGACATCAAATGACCAGTGAAGGGGGCACGGGTGGCCCAGTCGTCTAAGGCGCCGCGATTGGACACGCCAGGAACCTATGATTGTGGATTCGTATCCCCACTTGCCGTGATTATTTTTCTAGGTTTGTCAGCACCATACCCATGCTCGTGGGTTTCACCACGAGGTAAACGTCTGACACCTGCATAACTTCGGGCTTTCCTTTCACATTAAGCTGACACGCCGTGATATAACTGGAATACTGTTAAAAGCGGCGTATATAAAACCCAACTCACTCACTCCTTGGCTGTGATCTCTGCAGTGTTTCGGCGACTGTTTTCAGCCTTGTAACGTCTTTAATCATATCCAATTTCAAGTGTATGCTTACTTTTGCCCGGCAGTGTATATGGAATAGATTCATAACATAGTGTCGGTATGCCTGCTTTGGTGTGACAGCCACTGGAAAACTCAGGTGCACTGGAACTATAGGAATACATGTTGGATGATGGTGCGTGAAAGACGGACTTACTATCACACCAGAATCTCAAGTAGGGTTGCAGAGAACCCCTCACCTTGAGACACATTCGTGACAAACTCGTGTTATTCCGGGACAAGCCGAATAGCGACTCGTGCCCTTCCCATGGCCATTTTTGCGACCGGGTTCCGTCTTAGCGGAAACGGGCATACCTAAAACAATTGTCAACTCGTTGCGTAATGGTTCACATATATTTTCCCATATATTATATATGTTTCAGGTGCAATTTAAAGCACATCGGGTCGAATTATACAGTATGACTGAACACATTTAACTTTGTCTTGGGTATATTTTTAGATGCAAGACATGTAAAATCAAAAAATTATTTCTATGGGATTCTTTGAAATTTCTGAGGGATTCTGAGGGAACTTGAAACCATACGCGCATTCTGGTTGGTTTGTCGTATTTTCGCACATACCATTCATCGAGAGGGGGACGTGTCTTCTTGCCGGTTACGGAAAGGTGCGGGTGGTGACGAATGATAACATTCATCGATAGGGGGACGAGTCTTCTTGAAGGTAACGGAAAGGGGCGAGTGGTGACGAATGATAACATTCATCGATAGGGGGACGAGTCTTCTTGTAGGTTACGGAAAGGTGCGAGTGGTGACGAATGATAACATTCATCGATAGGGGGACGAGTCTTCTTGCAGGTAACGGAAAGGGGCGAGTGGTGACGAATGCATGAGACAACCTGACACTCTCACACCCTGGACCCCCTCACACATGACTGTCACATACAAATAGTTGACTTTACCCATGACTGCCGCGGACAATATCACTGAGTTAGTGTATGTCGTTAACGCCACAGTAAAAATATCAAGCTGTTCTAGGACGACTTTTAAATGATCAAGTCTGAAACAGACCAACAGGTTCTTGACAGAATCAACAATCCCGAGTCGTTGAGACAACATGACACGCAATCTGTCTGCACACTGTAACCACTTTATCTTATTTTTGAGTTAGTTTCGTTTTACCCCCAAGGGGTATCGCTGTGTAATTTGATATATCTATTTTGAATTTAAGCTCTGCTGTGGGATTTGTCATTCGTTTAATCCAGTAAATGTCTGTGTACATCCAAGTCTGTCATCATCAAAGTTCTTTTCGAATTGTTCATCCTTCGTCAATTAGGCATAAGTCTTCCTCGAACACGGGGCGTAAATGGAACCGATCTTCCCAGCGCCCGTTCCATCAGTTTGATTGTCCACGGTGCCGCTGATCCCGAAGTCACCCCCAAGTACCAGGGCATCACCCACATGGTCATGCAGTGGGGGCACATCACCGACCACGACATCACCCACGCGCCTATACTAACACGTAAGTAGCGAACCTGACATAGTAAATGTGTACATGTGTGATTATCTTGGAGGAAAGGCTGATAGATGTACAGTAAACTACGTTTATAACGAGCGCGCATATAACGAGCTGTTTTTTGGTCCCAACCATTTTCTGTATATATGCTAAGTATATGTTTATAACAAACTACGGTTACAACGAACTAAAATAAGTGGTCCCTTTGAGTTTGTAGTCATTAATAAATGAGTACCAGAGTTTGTGAATGAGATATTTAGTTTACATAACGTCCAACGAGCGAGAAGGTTTTTTAGTTTCATGTGAGACGAAGTCTGTTGTCAAAGGCCATAGAAATATAAAAATACCAAACATTTAAATGGTTTCACTTTTCGTTAATTAGGAGTGCGTGTGCGTGGGTGCGCCTGTATCAGTCTGGACTTCAAAGCGTTAGCCCACTGAGATAACGAGCCAGTCCGACCAATCCGTGTTATATCCCCTCAAGCCGAGCACCAGGCAGGGTAGCAGGAAGTAGCAATTTGTTATGTCTTTTGGTATGACGCGGCCTGGGATCGAACCACCGAGCTCCCTTTCTCCGGGTAGACGCTGTATCCACTACACAACGGAGGCGGTCTGTCGTTAATTGAAGCAATCGCAATGATAACACAGTACAGCTAACCTTCAAGCACAAGGAGCAATGAAGCCCCCTTGATCTAAGGCGCCGCAATAGATGATTCTGCCTCAGTCACATATACAACGGTCGCCGGACGATGTGGGGGCATCGGTGGGTTTTACGGATGCCCAGGCGTGACACATCGGTGCAGTAGTCATGAAACCAAAGATGATCGGTAGATACCCCTCATGTCACCGGCCGGTGGTTGGAGGGTGTCCGAAGGATTTTGGAAAAAAAGGTAGGCTTATACCGTTCAGTGACTGACCGGTCATCTGGCGGGAATAGGCCGGTAATCTCCCGAGACCCGGACGGTGCCCGTCCGATGTAAACCAAATCGTGCGGTGCCCATCCGGGCACCGGTCGATCCCCGGATGAACACCGCCCGTATCCTGCTCGCTACAAAAGGAGCTCGCTCAGTGCCCGGCCGATCATAGTTCGTGTTAGCCGTCGAAATTGCTGCAAGTGCTGTATCACATTTCAGTTGATTTTGTAAATTTGCGTCACAGATCCATTACCGATAGGGGTGTGGACCACCGGTCGCCGCAAGAAAATAACTCCGAGTTATTTTCTTCCGATGTGTCCACCGGGGTCTTCCCGAAGTCAAAACCATGGCCAACGCTCAAAGATCATCGTCTGGCATGCCGTCGGGTATCTCTCAATTTTGCCGATTTTCAGCCTTTTCGGGCATCGTAAACTAATCTTTCCCGACATCGGTGGACATGTGACCGAGGCATTACGCCTCCTCGCCTTGTGAGGATCCGTTTGACCTGTATTTAATCCCGGATTCGCTCCGATTATGATTCATGGTGTGTCAAGACAGTACTATGACGTACGCACGGTGTATCTGATTCGTGCGTGGTGAACCCGAAGTATTAACGTCTTGGGAAGCATGATCTTACATAAAAAACAACAAAAACGTCTCGGGATTTTTCAGGATGGTATCCAAATTGCGGGGCAAAGGAAAGTTGTTAGATGGTCGCTAAAAATGAAGCAAGCAAGAAATGGTTATTCGATGGTGATGTATTTGAGACGGGTATCATAGTTGTGCTTTGGACCATCAGTGTGCAGTGTTTCCGCGACTGTTTCCAGCCTAGTGACATTTGATAGTTTCTGTACCTTTTGGCTCAAATCGAATTTTTAAATGTATTCTTCCTTTTGCCCGGCAGGTTATGTAACACACGCGCAGCTCTATGAGAACATAATAATAAAATATGAGTGAGTGAGTGAGTGAGTGAGAATGGTTTAACGCAGCCTTTAGCAACATGCCAGCAATATCACTGCGGGGGACACTAAAAACGGGCTTCACACCCATGTGGGGAATCGAGCCCGGGTCTACGGAGTGACGAGTGGACGCTATAAACACTAAACTACACATAGTGAGGCGCTGTCATGCAACCTTGTCTCATAAGACAAAATAACCTACATGTTGGTAACTGTTTGTTGATTTTTTTTCATGTGATGAGGTCCAAACAAGAAGCCCCTGTTAATCGACTGTTGTCTGGAGGGAGCAACTTCAGCAGGGGCGCGGGGCTTCGGTAGTTCTTCGCCGTCAGTATCTCATCTTTATCATTACGACAGAAAAAATGTATTTGGATATCTAGAAAACAATGAAATATTGAATTCTTAAATATGAATCCTAAAAAGTATATTTATAGTTAAATAGATGTGTTCCTTCTGTTTTTCAAAGAATATCGTATTGTAGTTTTGTAGGTATAAGTGATGTCCATAGTTATTGTTATTTTTACAATTATTGATCAATTGTCAATCATACGTCCCATGAAAATACATGATGTATAAACACTGGTTTTTATTATTTGATATGTCTATTGACCCTTATGCTGACAAACAATGTTCTTAACGTTTTCGCATGACACGCGAGTGAATATTAACAAATGAAAGACGTTGTAGTAAAAGGTATTGTCAAAGCTATATGATTAAATTCAAACATTCTATAACTATTTAATATGATCAAAGAACTCCGTCATCCTTCCTGGGTCGACCGCCTCCGTGGTCTATGGGTAGAGCGTCCGCCCGGAGAGCAGAAAGTCGAGGTTCGATACCCAAGAATGGTACTTGTTATTACCCTGCCTTGGCGCTCGGCATTAAGGGGCTTTAACAATGAATTGTCGGCTTGGAGTCAGTATACTGTGAATGGGGTATTCATGTTAAACTGCGGCATGGTATCTCAGTGGGCTAGCACTATATGTCAAGACCAGTACAAGCAGCCACATACACACACATGCATGCACGTCGCTATATGAGTGCAATAATCTTGGACGCGACGTTAAACCCCATTTCACCTTCACCTTCCTCCCAAGGTCATGCATACGGGTCACAATCTGTCACCTTTTTTTTCAGGAGTCCCTGTTTCCCTATTCCAGTACCGCCGAATGATCCAATCTTCATTGGCCGTACCTGTTTGAACTTTACAAGGTCCATACAAGTACCCAATCTACGGTGCACCAATGGTAAACACTGAATCCGGGCTTTCACATTTAGGATGTTTGTTTTAACGTTCAGATTTATGTGAGTTTACAACACACGTTTAAAACACAGCTCTTGACTCCTGAACGCCCAGATCATATGAACAGCACTACTCTAGATACATACACGAGTTAGCTCGGCTCTACAAATATTTGTCAGCCAATCCCCTCTTTTGATGAAAAATCATATGCATCAGTTATAATTCCATCTTCGGATTGTTTGTTTGTTGACGCCGCACTCAGCAATATTCCAGTACATGACGCCGACAATGTACTTAATTGTGACTTGACCAGACAATCCAGTCATTGATATCATGATTAACGATCTACGCCAATGACACGTGGTCAACCATTTCGTCGCCTTCCCCACTGTAACGCGGATTTCAAACGGAATCCAGCCCTGTAATATACATGGAGGTGACACCTGTACAGTTAAGAGGTATAACACAGATTCGAGTATAACAGCAATACATGCATGAATTGTCCCATGTTTGTTTGTTTTGAGTGTGGGGAAGGCGTGACGCTTTACAAACAAATGGACATGTGAGTTTAGCCATCATTCAATAAAGCTGGGCATTTGCGAGATACCTTGTGCTTGTCATACTAATGTCAAGACAGAAATTTCTGATATACTTGTTGATGTTTTCAGCTCCAGTGGAACAGATCAATGCAATCACAGCCTTTGTGGATTCGTCTAATGTGTATGGATCGAGCAAGGAGGAGAGTGATAACCTCAGGCTGAGAATAGATGGTAATTGTTTCCATCAAGTAGTTACTCACTGTGCATTGACGTTAGGGGTTAGCTGGGAGAGTCAAGTTTACTATTATCGAGGGCAATTATCAACGAGTTTCCAGAAATTGGCTTCGCATATTTATCCATCGAATGGGGAAAACTATGTTACTCGCATTATGACGAAACCTTTGTTCGTGTTTATTGTTTGTTCTGTACAATGAGGATAGCGAGTTGATCAATGTTTGCATGTGGTGTTGGTCGTCTATAGCGCCGGAATGCGTTGTGTAAATTAAAACGTCAACGCCAGAGAACAATCAGTCTAGAATGTCTGCGAAACAGATTCCATATGGCCCTATTTATATTCCAAGTCAGGTCCCTTAGTCGTGACGGAGACTGACAATGGTTGGTTCTAATCCCAGATTCGCCGGGATTATGATTCTTGGTTTGTCGGCACCATACGTGTGATCTGGAGTTTACTTATCTTTATCTACATATCTATCTTCAGAGGTTCAGGTAAAAAATGTCATTTTAATTTTTACTAAGAAAACAATACGTGAAATGCTGGACTTCCTCATTGATAACATCTATGTACAATTTGGGTGTAAGACATTTAGGCAAGAAGAAGGTATCCCCATGGACACCTTGTGCTCTCCTTCTTGCTGACCTGCTTCTTCATGCATATTATGAATAAGAATTTCTACTTGGATTGGCAAAGTCAAAAGAAGATAATTTGGCCGAGAAGTGTAACTTAAGCTTCATGAATATCGATGATTCTCTTCGACTGATTTACCCACCTGAACTAAAAAATAAAGGAGACTTGGCAAATGTTAGAACTATTGAAGGTGTTTATGTCCCCTACTGAAATCAATATCCCGATTATAAAGGGGACAAATCAATAAAAGAGCCCTTTCGGGATTATTCACTGAGCCTTATACAGTTCAAAGACGACCCCAAGTCAGTTAGCACGCTGTTCGTTACAAATCAAACTTTATATTTTACATAATAGAAATATATAGAGAGTCTCATCGAGTGTCTTTTGATATCAAATATATCAACGATTGTTGAGAGGTTGTGATACATCACACGAGGGTGAGACTTTATTTTTCATCCAACAACAATTATTCAACATCAATTTGTCCAACTTTTTCAGTTTGTAGACAATAATGAGCAGTGTCTTAAGTGTAAAAAAGTACTGCTTCCAGCTTCAGTACAGAGCCATTGGTGATGTCATTTGATTGTGACGTCCAGGTAACCAATGACGCCACAATGGTCTGCAAAGCATTGTGATGCAATTTCATTGCAGCGACATCTAAAATGGAGATGTCGCTTGATCTCACCCAAGCGATATCTCCTGTGGGGGCCAGTTTTAGATGATACATATAAAAAAAAACATTAAGAAGACATGAAAAAAACCCTGGCATTTTATTTACTCTTACATACACATCAATGCATCAAAATGATACCTATCGGCCGCTGTTATGATAATATTACTGATGTCCATATTTCAGGCCTCCTCAAGTTCGAAAACTTCAACCTACTTCCAACAAATGAGAATGAAGATGTCTGCGATGCACCGTGCTTCGATGCAGGTGCGTGTTTTCACAATGAATGGTTGTAGGCAGGAGCGGACATGCTAATACACCGCTTGTCAATATGCGGCGATGGATGGTATTTAATCCTATACGTCGTTCTGTGGATTCCAGGGCAGAATAGGTTCCCAGCATCCCGTCGGTCATTGAGTGAATGTAGTTCATTCAGTCTGGTCTAGATTCAGTTGTTAACAAGTTTGCTAAATATACATGGAATACTACTGCCCGTTGTGTTAAACAATATTTATTTACATAACTATTCACTCACTATGCGTTAATAGTATTGTGTCAAACAGTTTTTGGCACTGCAGGGATTTCTGGTTGATTCTCTGCTACTTTCTTCAGGTGATACCCGTAGGAACGAACAGATGGGTCTAACCAGTATGCATACCCTATTGATGAGGGAACACAACCGAATTGCAAGGACTCTTAAAAAGTACAACCCTTTTTGGAGCGATGAGATACTTTTTCAAGAAAGCAGGAAAATCGTTGGTGCAATGGCTCAGAAAATAACCTACAGCGATTGGTTGAACATCGTTCTTGATCCTGTAACGCGAAGTATATACGGTATTGATTCAACCGGACCTGGGTTTGCCAAAGTCTATGACCCATCTATCGACCCCAGTATTCGGAATGTTTTTGGTGCTGCTGCCTTTCGGTTCGGACATACCCTTGTACGTACATTCTTCAGCCGACGTCGCCCAAATTATTCAGTCAACGTCATTCACAGATTGAGTGACCTTTTTGGCAAGACCAAAATCATAAGGGACTCCAAAGGAAATGCTGTGCATGAATTTTTACGTGGCCAACTTGTCGACACTGCTGGCAGGTTTGACCGGTTCATAACTCCTTCCTTGACCAACGAGTTGTTTAAGAGCGCAACAAACAGTTTTGATCTGGCAGCGTTCAACATCCAGCGTGGGAGGGATCATGGCACACAGTCGTATAACGCCTGGAGAGAGTTCTGTGGACTTCCAAAGGCCTATTTCTTCAGGAGAGGGCCTGGAGGTTTCTCCGATCACACCGAGGATGCTGTGAACGAGCTGGCCCGCGCCTATGCTGGCTTGTATGTCGATTACTGTATTATAGTGACGATAGCTGCGAGTATTATTTGATTTAATTGCATAAACCCAAACTTACCATGAATCCTTATCTGATTTTGTAATTAATATATGTATTAAATAAACGTCTGACTTTATAAAATAAAGAGCATAAACAAGAAGGACTTTTTTCTAAGCACTTAGCAATTGAAGGCAACTGTACCCATGATCATCTGTGTCGTTTGTATCTGAAGAACCACCCATGGGTATTATCATTGTCATGCATGGCAATTTATGATAAGAAGAAGAAAAGACAGGATGAGGTATCAAACTCTTTTTATTGTTTTTTAAGCCTTGATTTACGCTTGCAGGAGCCCGGATGATGTTGAGATCTTTCCTGCAGGAATATCCGAGATACCGATGCCAGGTGGTTTAGTCGGACCCACATTTGCCTGTCTCATCGGGAAACAGTTTGAGTTATTAAAAAGAGGCGACCGTTTCTGGTACGAACGGAATAACCCGGTGACGGGTTTCACAACAGGTATGTTGGACAGTATTCTGACAATTGTATTTGGATAATGATTTTTTAACAAATATCAATATCTATACCTATATGTAAGAAAGAAATCTTTTAATGATTTCAAAATATAAATATGGCAGTTCTATAATATCAGTGTGGATTGTATTCTGAAAGTAACATCCTATCAAAAGCATTATACCAAGTAGAACTGTCATGATAGAAGTATTGCAAAACTGACCCACATTTAAGCTTGCTCATTGTGAAGATACTCAACTATTTAAGGAAGTATAGCAGATAACATACCTCAAGGATCAAGATACTGTTTCTTTGAAACAATGACTCAATGTTATCCATTACCAAACAAATGAAGTAACTGGTTCGTTATGGTTTGATCCTAACTGAATTTAACATTTTATCAAAAGAGTTCAAATGGATGTTTCAAATATTAATATCTCTTCTGTACATAAAGAAGCGAGTGTTGCAAAGTTTCACGCATGACGCTTGCCTTGATGCGTATTTCTCTTATTTTATTACGAAAGAATAAATTAAAAAGGTATTTCATTGTTTTGTGCCATAGGGTTTGTTGTTCCTTGAACTGAGTGATAACAACAAATGCTATTATTCTCTTATTCTATCCAATGCCCAGCCCAACTGGCTGAGATCAGAAAGGCCAGCCTGTCCAGAATCATTTGCGACAACACGGACACCTTCCTGATTCAAAGAAATGCCTTCAGGAAAGCATCAATATTTTGGTGAGATATCTGATGAACGACAATCAAGGTTCAACTATGCTTATGTCATATTGATGTACCATTTTTCCGAGATACTATAAGGTACGAGAAGTGTCCTTCCTAAAAGTCCAAAGCATTCTACTGAACATAGAAATGGAGGACGTGTTAGATTTGGAAGTCGTTTCAAATATTGCGAGGAAATCTACATGTACTTTCGCAATTCTGTTGAAAAAAAGGGACACACATATAGCATTTCTATTGCAATAGTAATAACATCCCTAATGTTACCACGGTTTTATTTTATGTAATATATTTCTGACAATGGTTTAATTTCTTGACATTACCCATAAGGGTAAAACCAACGAATGTAACCCGATATTTGCTCTTCGGCAATTTTCAAAGCTGATTGGTCATTTGAGTGAGTGAGTGAGTGAGTTGGGTTTTACGCCGCTTTTAACAGTCTAGTATTCCAGTTATATCACGGCGTGTCAGCTTAATGTGGGAGGAAAGCCCGAAGTGATGCAGGTCTTAGACGTTTACCACTTCGGTGAAACCCACGAGCACGGGAATAGTGCTGACAAACCTAGAAACATAATCGGGGCGAACCAGGATTCGAACCCACAATCATAGGTTTCTGGCGTACCCAAGGAACACAATTCTGCATAGACGACTGGGCTACCGTGCGCCCTTACTGGTCAGTTGATGTAATATGACGTCAAATTGCTGCTTTTTTCCACAGCGCTTTCTAAGTTCATAACGTAAGGCAACCAGAAAGAATGACTTCTGTGAAGTGACATTTGATACCTTTTTCCTCATTTTAGTTGTTGAAATAATAATGGCCAATAAATAGAATCAATTCATCACATCGTATACTGACCAGTTGTTTGTCCTTGACAAATGCATTTCGATGCCTAAGTCTTTATATTTAATTCTCTCACCATCTCATCAAGCTTAAGTACCTGTATTCATTTCATATGTATTCATACGATAATATTTGATAATCAGTTAAGAAGTAATCGCTCCATAATTGTCAATTCATGTCTTGGCAATATGAGAAATAATTATCACAAAGAAACCCACACATTGCTAGTAATTAAATTAAACAACTTTCACAACGTTATGAAGACGAGAGCTGAAAGAGATGTGATCATATGCGCTAAGTCACTGTTTTATTTTCAGGAATCCCCTCCAGTCCTGTTACAATCTCCCAAGAGTAGACCTCGGGAGGTGGAGGGCTGTCCCTGCCTAAAGATAGGGGCCACGTTTCTCGAAGCCACACTGCCGTACTTCTTCGTCCATACTACATTGCGCATGTCATGGATGGATGAAATAAATGACTTGTGAATCAATAGGGAACATTTTGTCATTACTACACCCTGGCAACGCAATTCCTTGGCATTAGTCAAGTAAAATATAGGGCTTTTATATGAAGACTAGAAGTTTTAAGCTGCATCTGCAAAACCAGATTTGTATAAGTTATAAGTAAGAGCCTAAATATGTTAAGCACCCCCTTCCTGACCGACAGGACCGGGGTTTGAATAGGCACCTAAAACATAAAATTGCAATTGTTAGGCAAAATATTGGCGACTAAATTGCATCACGTACTCACTCCCAATTTAGTTTATATTAGATCGTGTATGATGCATGATCAGTGGAGAAGAACTTTGTCAAGAGCGATACAGTGTTGTTCCATGCTGACATGAAGGGATAGACAAAGGGTCTCACGCGTGATTGTGTTGGCTGGCCTGGACGTCGACCTGCTGCAAAAAGGATGTACGCAGGATACGAACAGCTTTGTGCGAACACATGGTAACACCTTTTGATAGTGGTTCATAAAGTCATGTTTTATGATGTAGCAGGGATTTGTCGTGATTATGGATAAAGGTTTGTCGTTTTAAATTATACAATTGTACGGTTCTGTTCGCGCTGCTAATGATATGACATGGCTCATTAATCATCATATGATGGTGGTTTTGAATATCAACATCGAAAAGTTTATTCAGAATAAGGCCACTGGCCCAAGATACAGAGATATAACCATCTGCACAATATTGTCATACATAATACATACAGATGTAGATGTATATTTATATCAAAAATAATTAAAGGAACAGTATCTCTTATTTGATTTACCTTCAGAAGGGATACACATATGTTGTGCAATATTTCGCAATCTTGTGATAACATCAGGTATATGAAATAATACATGGATGGGGTGATTATATATTTACTTATTAAGTTATTTCTTGGGATATTATAAAATTCACACACAAACAAGATATGCAATTCATCTTCAATAAAAAAATTCTCTTACTGAGACAATTTGAACAGAGTCTTTCTTCCTATGGTGTAGAATGGTGTCTTCCTGTATGTACTGTAATGTTAAAGTTGCTGCATCTAAAGCGTGATAAAATCCTTCTGTGATGAGGAATATGTAAGTAGCTTTCAATGTTTAAAAGTGATTTAAAATGTTTATAAGAGTATGAGTCTCATGGGTTGTTGACTTTATCGCACCACGTTTGCTGAAAATTGTCAAAGAGTCTCTGCTTGAACAAATGTATAAACATGTCGTCAATGCCTACATCCTGGGATATCTATGCAAACTCAAAACTAAATTGAAATAAAATATTCTTAATACGGGTGGCCCAAGTGGTACTTCTAACGCATGCACAGTTACCATCATGTAGCACTGGTAGGCTAGTCTATCTGGGCTGAGATGTAAAACCCCTAACCAGTACTTTACAGCTCTTATATGTATATGTCATATATGTACATTGCAGGGGTGCTCTACCACATTCACTAAGGGCCATAACATTACAAGTGTTTTTTGAAACTTTCAGAAATGGTTTACATGTTTCAATTATTTTACAGTGAGACGTTCCCCAAATTTCAGCCACATTACACAGGATATAGGTATAAAAAAGTTTGAATAAATCCTTGCATGGTAACTTTCCTCTGATATCTGTTTATGGCCACCACAGCTTTACTCCTCTGGCCATGGGCAGCTAAGCAGGTTTGAGCTTGTGCCCAAATCAATTTAGGTGTAAACATTATTCCCAGATATCTGTAAAATGAAACAGTTTCAATATTTTCAGCACAATATGTCCACTTTTCATAACTCGTCAAAGGTCCTCATTTATAAGTACCGTAACTTAAGTCTTTTTCAGAATATCTTTCATGCCAGTTCTGAAACAAAACATTTCTAAAGTATTTATTTTCTTTTGTCGTTGTAAGGGGGAATATGTCACATTTCATCAACAAACATTATGCCATATATATCTTTACCATCCTTTGAAATAAAAGCTCTTTTAGCTCTAAAGTACTCCAGAAGTTGTATAGGCTTGTTTATGAATATAATAAATATTTGACAATACGGGTGACAATATTTGAATTAAAATAGCTTGTCAATCCATCTGAACTCCTCACACAAGTCCAGAGGTTTGAGTGCATTGACGAAAGTATTTTCAAATATTTACCACGTGTTCCAGTACCCTCTTTACTTGTCAGCATAATTTCATGTCTCACAGTGTCAAAAACGTTCGAAAAGTCAACAAAGAGACAGTAAAATTTCCGTTTCTTTTTCCATGTATATTTCTGTATCATATCTTGTAGTGTAAAAATATTGTCAATAACTGAATAGTTTGGTCTAAATCCAGCCTGTTGAGACTTTAAACATAGTATCAATCTTGTCACCAGATTTTAAATAGTGGACAAATAATACTCCTGTCCCATAGCTGGGGTAACACACCGCTTTCAAGTATTTGATTATACGTAAAGTACGAATAGGGGTAATGTTTAGCGTTTTTAAAGTACTCAGGAGCAATGCCATCAGGTCTAGTAGACGTGTTGTTTGCAAGCTTTGTTATGTGTTTCTCAACGTTCTGACAACTAATGTTGGAGGTAATGAGATCCTGAGTAATATTGTCAGTCACATCACAACCACCGACGTTCACATCAGATAAAGGCTGTATATTATCAAAATGGATAGATGAAAAATGTTCTATCCATTTTATGTGCTAATTCCAGCAAGCATAGTAACCTGTTTTAACCGAGTTAGTTTGGGGTTTCCCTTGCATCAATTTCTTGTGTCATTGTTGATTGTAATATAACTGTCGCTTTATTGAAAAGGTTCTTTTGAAGTTTGAGCTTAGCTCTCTAAACCACTTGAATGTCTAGACCATGGTCTCCATGTCCTCTTAAAGCCCTGTATTTAGAAATCAATGTCATTATAGCACTGTAGATACTCATGAAGACTACAAGCAATCGTGTCATTTGTGTTAAATCATACTATTGTTTAGTCTGTGTTCAGTTTGATATTTTGCAATGGCGAGACAGAATTGGTTCAAATTGAACCACATTACATGTTACCCAGATGTTGGGTGTATGGAAATCAGATATTATTATGTCAGGGCTTAATTTTACCTAAATGGCAAAGAATATTATAGCATATAGTTATATACTGATGATCGAGAAGACATTTGACACGGCCTTGAGAAGGACAACGTACGGGATACTATCCCAAATGAAAGGGAATAGTGTATTGAGTGGTGTTTGTTGTTACGTGCCTTTTAACTGAAATGAAATGTAAACAACACTTCGTGATGGTTGCGAGGAGGCCATGTTCAAAACGCACCATATTCGTTGCACGTATGGTTCACCAAAGTAGTAAAAGTTTGAGAAATGCATCACTTCGGGCTTTCTTCACATATGTAGGCTGTCACGTCGTGATATAACTGGAATGCTGTTCATGGCGGCCTTAAACCAATCTCACTCACTGTAAATAATGATGGTGTCACCGAGCAGCAGGATGAACGTCCGATCTCACAGTAACGAAGTGTCAAATGTCAACACAAATAGATTCAGAGAGCAAGGTATGAGAGAGACTCTTTGACAACATGCTTCAGTCATGTACACACTTCGTAATTCTATATTCAACTGGCAAACCCATTTAGCACAAATACCAGTACTTTGCTAGCGATCACGCACTTACGACCAAACGGACACTGAATGTGTGAAAAAAGTGTTCATTGGATACATTATATAACGGGTTCAACATGTCACCAGAAGGCATGGGTACTACACCAAATACTGATTTCTCGCTTTCTTAGACAGAGATGTTCAGAAATGTTCCAGGAAGAGGACCATATTCATTATGGTCCATTTGACTGCCCCAGTGATGGCGGCCCAACTCGATCCCTGTTTCAAATCACTCTAGAGGGATAAGTAGAGGGTACAATTGAACATCCTTTGAGAAGTGTAACGGGCTATTTATGTCTTATGTCAATTCTAAAGTAATATTTGTATAGATCGTTCTGCAAAACGTACCTAATATATATAAATAATAATGTATGTCGACAGAGGAACGATCACCTAATACCTCTTCAGGTAAGAAGAAGGTCATATGAACACCTAAAGGCTTCAAAACTGAACAGAAGAAAAATAATGTTTTTTTTGTTTTTTTTATTTGATCCCAACGGGAATTGACCTTAGCCTTGATTTTGTTTGTATGTTGTGTAACGCCGCACTCAGCAATATTCCAGCTGTATGACGGCGGTCTGTAAATAATCGAGTCTGGACCAGACAATACAGTGATTGATATCATGAGCATCGATGAATGCAGTTGGATACGATGACATGCATCAACCATGTCAGCGAGCCTGACCGTCCGATCCCGTTCGTCGCCTCTCATGACCTATTCTAACCCGGATCTTCAAATGTTTTGAGTGAGTTTTTTGGGCCCAGTAGAGGAAATGACCCAAGGCTGAATGCACTCTAGAGTGATTTGGACCCTGGATCAAAATATTCTAAAGAGAAATTTTAAGGAATTGATGTGCTGCGCCGGCACTATACTTTTGAGAACACAACATGGTTTCAGTGGTTTCAAAACGGCCTCACCGATTGATTTATTGAAATGATATACTTAAACAGATTGGCTTCGCATGATGACGGATAAGAAACTCGTCATATAATGAACACAATACATAAAACCAGTCACCCATGCTTTGAGATTGAGGTGAAATTGTTCCGTAACACTAGTCATCATGGCGAGACAATACATAACTGTAAGGCACAGTCGGCAAGCAATAAGCATGATAAGGTTGGGGAACATACTCCGGCAGGCTGCTTATGATCTCAACAAATCAGTAAGTGTCATCTGAAGTTTAGAGTATTTGAATAGGCAAAACTGTGATGTGAAAATGTAGCATTTCAATGCAACATGAAAACATTCTGTTAAGAAATCACCCTGAATAATCAAAGAACAGTCACTTCATATCGGTAAAATTAATTCTTCAATGAGAAAAATCGAAAACAAATAACCGACGACAATTAGGAGATAAACATACTGTGTTTTCAATGTAGAGCTTGGTTACCTGTAGATTTAACCGCGCTCAATTGAATTTGAAACAGAACGCGCAGCGTGAGGTTTCAAATGTTAAAATCGTAATACGTCACTCGAACATATGGCAGGCATTGTAAGCATAAAAGCACGGCAACTTGGTCAGCTAACATGAGGTGTGCACGCCGAAAGAAAACTAAGCAAGCTTTGCAAAGCTTTCGTTCTGCGCCGCACGCCACCATGATGACTTCATATCGCTCATTGTGACGCAAAAAATAAGACGCCACAGTCGTATAAAGAGAAACGCCAAATTCCAAGCTCTCTGTTGTCCCTAAAACTTAAAATACATTTTTTCTAAAAATTTCTATCGTGTTTTTTTGCACGAAATATATTTCCACACATCCTTTGAATATTGTAGTAACTGCAATTTTGCATTTCATAACCTGTAATTGTATATATAATTATTTGAATAGGCCTACCGACAATGACTGAAAAAATACTATCCTATGAATATTAGCTTCCGCGGTGATGCGGCCGTCAAACCAGCTGTTTCAATCAAATGGGGTTTATTGTGATTTGATAGCCTCTGATTCACCAATCAGAATCGAGTAATATTCAAATCCGTGGCAGAATCATTGATTAGGGACTCAGTATCCGCTTATTCTTCGAGCATGGGTTGATGATACGTTATCATTGACCTTACTCCTTTGGGATTCCGGCTCACAAGGGATCCCGAGGGTACTCAGCTTGTAGTGAGAGCCGACTAATGAGGAGGAAGAGGTCACAGTGTTTGTCCTGCCGCATCGTGTACTGTTATGCTTTCCCCGAGGGGGTGGATGGTTGCTAAATTTATAATGGAGTCTTCAAATGGTTTGCCTGGCTGTCACGATGTACTTTGAACACTGATGGTTGTGGCGTAAACAACGTTCACTCGCTCACTTCCTCATCTGTGTCTTGTTCGAAATACAGATCCTACCTACAGTGATTCTGTTGAATGTCGTTAGATTGGCATTGGTATTGGGACCCCATAGAAAAAGTGCAATGACCCATAGTGTCTTATTTGGTTTCTACAGCATAAGGGTTTTAAATAATATCAAAATATTAATATTAAAACAACTAATAATAACATGTAGAGGGCGTCATGGAAAATGATAAATAGAAAATTCGTTGGAATAGGACCGTTTACAGTCTCAGACGAATCCAGGCCAACAAACCTGATCTTGTCCTTTTAGATAAATCCAATGAAACCATTTATATCATTGTATTTTCTGTTCCTTTTGACACTTATGTGATTGACAAGATCGAGGAAAAACATGGCAAATATGTGGACCTCGCTTTTGAAATGTAACGCTTGCATCCCAAGTACCAAGTTGTCCGACTCCCCATTGTTCTCGGTGCCTTAGGTTTGGTACCTCCCAAACTGTTGACTGACATTGGGAGAGTACCCGGGTTGGCAGAAGGCTGCAGTGTTGGGGAGTCTTCACATTCTTCGAAAAGTTCTGGTGACTATGCTTGTCGTAAAAGGCGACTAACGGGATCGGGTGGTCAGGCTCGCTGGCTTGGTTGATGCACGTCATCGATCCCAATTGCGTGGATCGATGCTCATGATATCAATCACTGGATTGTCTGGTCCAGACTCGATTATTTACAGACCGCCGTCATATAGCTGGAATATTGCTGAGTGCGGCGTTAAACAACCAACCAACCAACCGAAAAGTTCGAAAAAACAACTATGTTTTGTCCCCCAAACACAAAAATAATATTGCCCATTTTATTTTAAAGACATCATACCAGCTTCTGTATATTCAAATGTATCATGCAATTTAAGAAATGCGGACACTGCTGTGATGCCTCCTACTATATTAAACACTCAACGCGTCTTTTGTTCCATCAACTGTAAAGTTATGGAATACTATGGATCCCTGCAGCAGATATATAGAAATTGTACATCTGTATCCTAATTCAAGTATACGTACAGAAAAGCAATGTGTTGCACCTTCATATTTTTCCAGTGAGGTTGAATACTTGAAACGCCTTTTAAATTATGTATACGGAATAGAGATAAAATGTGATCCAATATGTCAATATGGTAATCCATGTGAAAACGGATTTAATTAATACTTATTAGGGTGTCCCAATGACAAAATGTGTTCATAATAATTTGAAACACTTTGGGGAACGCCGTGAACAACAATGTTAAATTAGAGTTAAGTTTGATGTTAATCGGAATGAATATTTGTCCATTATTGAAAATTAACATACCTTTAAGGCACAGTGTGTCACCGGTTCGAAAAAACAGACTAGTCACGGTCTAGTGACCGCTTCGTTCCCCTCTCCTTAAATTGTCCTTCCGTCAACATTCGACAGAGTCCGACAGTCGTACGTCCTTTTCCAGTGCCTTTGCATCCATTGTTAGAGAATTAGTGACCCGTATTTTTTATTCTCTAGTGACTAAATGGCACACGTTTGTCATGTATTTATTTGATATGTTATCTCATATATGTTGCTACCTTATTCATGTATAGAAAATGCTTTTGTGACGCTGTAGCGGGATTATCTATAACTTATATAATATATATGGTCCTTTTTGCCACCTCAATAATTGTACATATGTTGTTGTAAATCGTTAGTGGTACCGTTGGATAGCTTATGTTCAGCGCTTCATTTTGGTACTGACATATTCCGTATTGGTTTAGTAGCTAGTTTGTTATTCGGGTTTTCCCTATGTTAGGAAACACACTTGGTTACATCACCAGGCTATTGTATTCCCTTTGCCGACCAGGACAGGATGTTCTCTACGACGTCCGCGCGAAAGCCCTTGTCAAAGTCATGTGTCCTTATCCCAGGATTTGTTAGTGGGTGGTCATTCGAAACTCAGGTGTCGTTCGTAAGTAATTACGGGTCAGTGTCAATCTGGTACTGACTTACTCTGGTTGTATTGAGCTGGACTTCAATTTTTCAGTTTTCTTGTAATCCGTGGATAACCAACCTTACCGCGATTGTCCAGTTTAGGTCAGGTACATGTACCTATTTACAATTAAGAGGTAGGACACGCGGAAACCTTTAATCATTAGCCAACTTGTTTATTGACTTAGATCATACATGGGTATGATTCCATAGAAATTAAGAGAGCCGTGGGATTAATGAATAAACTAAATCTCGCCAAATTGTTCAAATGTGCTATTCGGTTCCACCCTTGGACACAGCGCGAAAGGTTGAACATGTTGCAATGCAATTACTTTTCTGAAAATAGTTTGTTCCGTGAATGGGTGCCCTACACACAAGTTTGTACCTGTTCCCACTGACATATATTTAACTACCATAATCCTTATATGTAAACATCACTACATAAAATGTTTCATCAAAGAACTTATAGGACGTATAGGTGACATTTTAAACAGCGTTATCACTATCCCCCGCCACGGGGTACATTAGAATTCTGTTTGTTCATATGGTAGTGAATATAAACTATTAAAAGAGTCCTATAAACCTTTAAAAAGAGATAGGCATTTGGGCCCCTAATGTCGTCAGAAAGGTAATTCAATGTTAAATTAATACATACAAAAGGTCCCTCAGGAAAAAAATAACTCAGTCTTGATAAGAATCTCTTTGATAAGCTAACTCCAGTAGTTTCTGAGAAGACGGACACTGAGCACCAAGTAAAATAACATGGATCAATGCCTGTAACTCTGTAAACAGAGAATTGAGGGGAACCAATTTTCGAACTCAGTCTTGACAAGTATCTCTCAGATAAACATGCAAACTATTAATCATGTACCTTCACCAGTTACTTCGAAATCATGTCCCCAGTATACAAAAAGTTGAAAAAGCATGGAGCAAGGTCCATAACTCTGTAAAATATGAATTTACGACATCAATCGAACACCAGTAACATCAGTGTGTAAAAGTTCATTTCTCTGATTTAAATTGTTCCTGAGAAACTTTGTCCCCTTTAAGAACCGGATGGACTGACGAACTCCGTTCCAGTATCCCCCGCGCCAATTCGTGGCGGGGGATAATAATGCCACATATTAGGCCAGTATGTCAACTGAGGAAGAAATCTGTCACTGCCACGCATCAGTACTGTCAGCTTATGGCTGGACTCTAAAACCTGAAGACAGGTCCATCCTCGTTTGAATTGGAGTGAGTGAGGGAGTGAGCTTTTAACAGTATTCCAGTTATATCACAGCGTGTCAGCTTTATGTAGGAGGAAAGCCCGAAGTGATGCAGGTCTCAGACGTTTACAACTTCGATGAAACCCACGAGCATGGATATGGTGCTGACAAACATAGAAACATAATCGGGGCGAACCGGGATTCGAACCCACAATCATTGGTTTCTGGCGTGCCCAAGGGACGCAACTCTGCACAGTTTGAATTGGATTCCATAAACATCCGAACAGAAAGATAAATTGCTGGCCCAGTACATAAACCACCCAATACCTGTCCCAAAAATTAACCATACTACTTAATACAGCCATGCTCTTTCCACGAACATTTCAAAGAGCGTCATACAACATTCATAGCTGTTCACAACATTCAAGTCGAGTAAAGCTATACATGTGTTTATGCCAGACATGTTGAACTCATACAGTTAAGTCATCAGTGACAAAAATAGTACCCGTAGGTTTTATCAGGTGAACAATAAACTTTGCAAGTTATGGTGCCACCCATTGGACGGGATTTTTTCACAGGAATTAATACTGCGCTAAGACATTTCATGAAAATTCTGCATTGTCGTTAATCCAAACCGATGATACTGTTTTGCTTTTTTGCTGTTAGTTATGTTTTCCTTTACCTTCCTGGCGCATGCATAATTTAATTGTCATAGCCTGGGGGCTGCATGGTTGATTTATCCTTAAGTCAGTGGGCATTGTCTGTGGCGCACCCAACGAACACAGGGAATAAAATGATCTCTTGGTAGACGTATATAGAACACATAAAGTTTGACAAACGCGAAATGTCATTAACGTATAAACTTTGCGTGACGCGACGAATCAATGTCTCGTTTGTTCGATGCCTTGCACACACCTTGCTGATGACGCCGAATTAGTTGAGGCAGCAACAAGCTGTGTGGACTACTTGCAAGAGGATGGGCAGGAAGATGTTGCTTCTCATCCTCGTCGCCGCGTACGTCGACGTTGCTGTAGGTGGAGGAGTCAGGCAAGGTCTGAACATATACATATATATACCTTGGTTTGAGTTTTACAAAAGTCACAATATATTTTATTGTATGTGTTTTGGTCAACCGTCAGTGAAATAGAACAAATATATTTTGTGAGGTAATCCGTATGTATACAATTATTTATATATTTATATATAAACATATTTGTTTTATTGTTAGATATAGAAAACGTGTCTTACCATCTTTGAAGCATCTTATGTATGTGTGTTTAGTTCATTGAGCATGGTAGCTTGATCAAGTTATGGTGAGTGAGTTTGGTTTCACTCCGTTTTTACAGTATTCCAGTTGTATCACGGCGTGTCATATAAATGTGGGAGCAAAGACCGAAGTAATGCTCATTTCTGACGTTACCACTTTGGTGAAACCCATGATTACGGGTTCCGACAAACCTAGAAGCATAATCGGGGCGAACCGGGGTTCGAACCCACAATAATTGGTTTCTGGCGTGCCCAAGGGACGCAACTCTGCACAGCGAATTGCGGCGCTTGAGACGATAAGACCACACGTGCCCATTGATCAAATTATCTACGTTTAGCAAGCTTACCAAATATACGACGTAGTTTAAATTATCTTATAAATAAATACAGTCGACAAAATCCTTTCCATAACAATAAGAAACCTCTGCTAAAAAGGGAGTCCATTGTATGATTAATAATAACTATAATAATAAATTTCACGTGGGCCCACTAAATATCAGTTTTGTTGTGTTTGTCGTTTAACGCCGCCCTCAGCAATATTCCAGCTATATGACGGCGGTCTGTAAATAATCGAGCCTGGACCAGACAATCCAGTGATTGACATCATCCACGGAATTGGGATACGGTAACATGCATCAACCAAGTCAGGGAGCCTGACCACCCGATCCCGTTAATCGCCTCTTACGATAAGCATAGGTGCCATTTACGACAAGCATGGGTTGCTGAAGACCTATTCTACCCCGGATCTTTGTTGTGTGTATTTGAGGTAGTATTACACACGATTATAAAAGTTTTGTTGATATATACCTTTAATTTTCAGAATTGATATGTATGTAAACATATCTAGCTTCAAGTACAAAATACCGTTTTGTGAACATAAAGAAACAATACTATCAAAAGGTTTAGAGACGGAATATGTTGGTTGTTCATTATAATGTTTATTAGCTTTATTTTAGCTGACAAGGGTATATTTCACAGCTGCAATGTTGTCTGTAAATTGTCTGACGTGCTGTAAATATGAGATTAATATTTAAAATCCCTTACATAATAGATAATAAAATCCTTTCCATACTAGTCATAAGAAATCTCTACAGAAATCCAGAGTCCATTTTACGATTCAATATCCAAAAGTGGCCATACCAGGTAATCGCAAAAAGGTGAGCGTCCCTTGCCTCACCGGTGGCACCTTTTACAAACACTTGTAAAGGCAAGTCAAGTATTTACCTGAAAAGTTCAAGTCCAGATAGAGAATTGCATCGGACATCCTTTCGTTTAATGTGGAAATAACCTCCACATGTCTACCATAAACCTTTTAAAAACTTTTATTTAAATTACTAATGCCTCAAATGCTGTAACCCTGATCAAACAACTTTTGAACAAGGGTCGTATGATTCTCTTTGAACTTTTCGTAGAAAGAGCGGGCTCTGTTTTACCTCAAAACTTATATAAATGTAAACGTGAAAGGCTCGAGGTGCTGGAATATTGCTCGACATAACGGGAAAGTGTACAGATGGAATCATTATGCACATATCTGAATGTGAAACAGATGAGGCAGTTTCACTGGTCGCTTCTATTTCCAGTTCAGCTGGGTAAACCAGAGGAATGTAAATAGGTATGTGACCAATAATGAACGCTATAAGATCATCGATAAGACGAAGCTGAAGTTAAATTTCTTGGCCAATACTCGGAGGTGTATATAATAATACACTAAAAGGCAAAAGACACGTCATGTGGATGTATCATATATATAAATATCTTTATTTTCAAATGCTTGTAGGTGTTTGACCTACATGAAATTAACAGTCTGGGGAATGTTTTTGCGAATTGTGAATTTGGGGAGGCACCAGAAGACATCACAGCTGGGGGGTTCAAAATCAGTACCTGGTGTGGCCACCACGGGCGTTGACTACATCCCCACATCTCCTGTACATGGAGTGGACTAGCTTGTTGATGAAGGCCATTGGGATACGGGCACATATCCTCAGGAACGCTACACACAGTTCTGCTGCAGTTGTCGGCCTTGGGCGTACGTCGTTGAGTCGGCGTTGGATCTCATCCCACAAGTGTTCAATGGGATTCAAATCCGGACTGAGGGCAGGCCAAGGCATGATTTGGATGTTGTGCTGCTGGAGGAGGTCCCTGGTGACTCTGGCAGTGTTGGGACGGACGTTGTCTTGCTGAAAGGTGTGGTTTTGATGACGGGCAAAAAAAGGCACGATATGGGGTCTTAGGACTTGGTCAATGTAGCGGAGAGCTGTGATGCCATTACCACTGCCTGGACCAATATTGTGAAAGACCACAGGTCCCATTCTCTGGTTCAGTCCGATTCCACCCCAAACCATGATGCTTGGGCCGCCCAACGGGTCTCGTTCCATAACACAAGCATCATCATAACGTTCGCCCCTTCTTCGCCAGACCCTGGCTCTGCCATCCACCGTTGAAACACAGTGGCGACTTTCATTAACCGTTGAAACACAGTAACGACTTTCATCAGCAGTCGGGCCTGTCGGTGACGATCCCTCAGGATGAATACACGAGCAGGACGGATGCACGAGATGTTGTTGGCAGCTAGGCGACGTCGGACTGTACGATCACTGATGGCACGTCGGTGGTTGCCAATGGTTTGCTGTTTCAGTGGCCATTCGGAATCGGTTCTGCAGATGTTGGCGTATCATGAACCGATCTTGTCTGGGAGTAGTGACTCTAGGACGACCACTACGCGGTCGGTCGTCGGTGGTGTTGTGCCGATGTTGCAAACGATATATCGTTCTGACGTTGACATTGAATGCATTTGCAACGACCTTTGCACTCTGGCCTGCTTGCAGTCTTCCGATCGCTTGTTGTCTCTCATTTCCTGATAATCCTGGCATGGCTGATGAATCGAAATAACAAAAGCAAGCTTAACAGTTTTGGGTGTCTTTTATACCCATACCATCCACGATATGCACGTGCATCATGTTTTTGACAAGACCTTTCCGCAACTGAGTCCCATTGCACTTTTGTAGGCTGCGTTTGGGCAAAGCACTCTATTCTAAACTCAATTGTTAAATGGACTTTAAGGCAACAAAAAGCAGCAGTAGAACGATAAATGAGTTTATTGACCGCAGAACATGTAACTGCCAGTGACTGTTAAGTTTTATCAGTATTTTCAGAAGTGACGTTTCTTTTGCCTTTCCGTGTACTTGCATTAAAAACATAACGCCAGAGAATAACCAGTCTCATCTATACGACGAAACAGATTCCCGTGGGCGTAATAGTCAAAACAGCGGTGAAAAATATATGAATAGATCACTGAAAATGAGTGATGACACAAGAATAAATGTGCATGGTGTATCCCAACCCTATGCATTTTCCCCATATTTTAGATTTCACACCAAGTACTGCTTTGATGTTAGGGATACACAAGAATGTGTTCAAATTTGTATATCTAACATATTCTCCGAAGTGAAAATCCTGGGTGATTCGGGTGGTCAGGCTCACCGACTTGGCTGGTGGATCCCTTGTCATCGTATCCAATTTGCGTAGATCAATGCTCATGATGTCAATCACTGGATTGACTCGATTATTTACAAACCACCGTCATATAGCTGGTATATTGCTGTATGCGGTGTTAAAAACAAATTAGCAAGACACACTCTCCTAAGATAAAATTAAGAGATTAAGCAACATCTAGCAAGTTTCATATACGTGCGGCGATAAGCGACAAACAAAACACACGAATCTATCATGTTCTTTCTCTAATTGCCTCGTTTCTGTCAGTTTGACCAATGATTCTTTCCTATCTTGAATCCACAGTTGCAGCCTCTTGCTCTGCCGATAAACTTGATATCGCCTTCATCGTCGATTCTTCAGGAAGTATTGGAAGCAAGAATTATGAGTTGGTGAAGAATTTTGTGATAGAATTTATAGGCGTTGCCAGCATAGATGACGGAACGGTCAGAATAGGGGTAATAACATTTGCCACTTCAGTTTCGGTAATTGCTTATCTGAATTCTCAAACCAATGCCACGTCGCTCCAAGAGGTTGTCAAGAATATCACTTACGAGAGAGGGTACACCAACACAGCAGCGGGTCTCAGGGCTGCTAACTACCAGGTCTTTCAGAGGTCAAATGGAGACCGAAGCGAAGTCCCAAACGTTGCCATACTTATTGCTGATGGGATATCCAATGTCGATGTCGAGGAAACTGTACCAGAAGCAAACCTTTTGAAAGCAACGGGAGCCAAGATAATTGCACTGGGGGTAACCACAAGCAACAGGACCAAGGACGAGCTCGACAAACTTGCCTCATTGCCTTTACGTGACCACCGAATTGACGTTGACAGCTTTACACAACTCGCGGGATTGTCAAATTCTATTCTGTCAGTTACCTGTGCTGGTAAGACCCTTATACATATAATTCTTTCTGTTGCTTTCAGTTTGCACAGTTTACTGCTTTACAAAGAGGTGGTGACAATATTTGTGAGTGGGGAAACAAAAAATACTTGTGATCATGATTTTTAACATATGGCAGCATCAATACACTCACGATAGAACATGGGCTTCTAATCTGGAATGAAGAAAAACGTTTATTATCACATTTTCTTCGACAAAATAAGGTTTCCTTTCGGCAATATATGGCACTGGCTTTAACGTTTATATTGTGTACATGTTGTCCTTGGAATAAAGTGGTTCCAGAAGTTCATGAAATTTCAAAATGTTGTGGTAGTCACATCAGTACAGTATATATCAAATTGTATACCAGTAGTATATTGACAACATGATTAATCCTTAGCTACATGCCTGTCTGATTTCCTCTGCTTCTGTATTCACAGAAACAATGACTCCGCCGCCAACCACTACACCTGTCTTCGTCCCAACCACTACACCTGTCTTCGTTCCAACCACTACTACAACGACATCTACTACTACAACAACAACCACGACCACTACCACCACAACAACCACTACACCAGTCTTCGTCCCAACCACTACTGCCACGGCATCTACTACTACAACAATCACGACCACTGCCACCACAACAAAAAACACTGCCATTACTCCTACAACTATAACAACCTCCGCTACTACCACCACAACTACCACACCTCCAACCACAACAACTACCATCCCAATAGGAAAATCCCAAGGAAAAGAAGATATCTCATCAGGACGAGGAGATCCTGTCACGGGGTCCAACATAATTGTTAGTACTCCTGATGTGGCACAAAGAATCACTGAAAGTAAGATTAGATATTATTAACCAATCCAACTTGTAAAATTAAAAAGATCTACACCAACGAATAAACGATAGGGCGTAAAAGGCAAAATAATCATGAAAAGTATATAAATGGATCAATCATCATCAGTAATGGCATCAGGTGTTCACGAAAAGGCCGGATATGTCCTGCTCTTCCAGTACCTTACGCATTTTTATAATAATGCAGAGTTTGATGTCCAACGCCGCACTTACAAATTCTCCTGCAATGCGACGAAGAACGCATGAATAAACATTTTTCACCGTGAACATAAAATATTGTCTGTTAAAAAGTAAAACAGATCTAGAGCACCACATCCTGTATTATTGACCTAGTTTCGGAATAAATCATATATTAACCTTTTGAAAGTAATGACTAGATCAACATATACTAAGCATACAATGTACGTAATTCTATTCAACGTGTCTATTTGGCAACCCATGTCTATAGGGTAAGGGCGTGTATGCTTCAGTTAATCATTCTGTCCATTCTCTTAAACATTACTATCTTCAAGATATGCAAACCTCAACGATGACACCTGCAACCACCACGACAGCTTATACGACTTCACCCACAACAACAACTTCTACTACCACGACCACCACCCCAGACACTACGCCAAGAACGAAGAGTACCACAACCTTGACAACCATTTCACCAGTCAGTGCAGACTCCAGGCCTATACCGACAAGTGCTGGAGTAACTACGGTTATACCAGAATCCACAGGTAGTCACTACATAATTGTTTCTAACTCATCATGAGGGGTGTTCCGTTTTATTGTTCCTTTACAGTCACATGGACCTGACTTGTTCAACATAGGTTTAGTGCAAAAGAAAACAAGATGGAGTTCGTAAAAAAACCCTCAAATGACATGGATTTTCACATTCATTGGAGTGAGTGAATTGGGTTTAATCCCGCTTTGAACAGTATTCCGGTCATATCACGGCACATAAGCTTGATGTGGGTGGAAAACCAAACTTTTACCACAAACCTGGAAATATAATCGGGCTAACCGGTATTCGAACCTACAATTTGCTATATGGTTCTGGCGTGCCGAAATGAACATTCGCAGGACCCAAAGAAAAAAAACCCGTACATATTTGTTTTAAGAAACAACGGTTTCTTGGTATAATATTTTTAATAAGCAGATATATGCAGACAAAAAAAACCTGACACTCCCGGTGCCCTTCAACCGGCATTAGAACACACAAAACCAGATAACTGATACCAGTTGACGGGATTTCACAGGGTCTGTTCAGGGTATTCACATCAGTATCAATGTTACCATATAAAATAGTTCAAACAAAAAGGAAGCAACCAGTGATAAAATCTACTCACGACTCACTGTCAGTGTGATGGCACAATGTATTAGAGACATGGAGAATCTCTCTGTACCGTGTGGTTTCAGAGAAATAGTGACAAGACTATGTAAATAAACTAAGTGTGTGCACAATGTGCAAGGCGTCACGGGCTAGTGAAGACCATAATGAGCTAATAAGTGGACGCTGTCTGAATTTTGCCAGATTTGTACTGTTGGTTTGCCTCTATTTATTCCAGTCTGCCAAGACAATCCCCTAGACATTGCCTTCATCGTAGACGCTTCCAGCAGCGTAGGAAATGACCAGTTTCGCCTCGTTATCGACTATATCAAAGCTGTCCTCTCGACCACCGACATTGATGGCGGAAAGGTCCACGCAGCCGTCTTGACCTACAGCACTGACGTCGCTGTACACATCAACCTGAACGACTTCAAAACCAGGAAGGAGTTCTATGGCGCCCTAGACGGTATCCCCTACATTCCAGGCTGGACTAACGCCGCTGAGGCGCTGCGAACAGTGAGAACCCAGGTGTTCACTCCCAAGACAGGCGACCGAGTCGAGGTGAACAATGTCGCCCTGCTGATAACTGATGGGCAGTCCAATATCAACAAGAACAGAACTATCCTGGAAGCCAGGGAACTGAAGGCGGCGGGGATATATGTCCTTGCTGTAGGGGTCGGTCTGGCCTCTCTGGGTGAAGTGGACAGCATCGTTACGTCACCGGCCAATGAGAACCGATTCACTGTAGCAGGTTACAACAACTTGAGGGGGTTGGGAGAAGTTCTGTTTCCATTTCTATGTCAAGGTAGGTCCATTTTCTGTTACAATATATGCATAAATACACATGTTGAACTTCCTGGGGAGATTCCAATGTAGAATTGTCTCCTAGTAATTGTCTCCTGATTAATGTGTCATCCTCATCCAATGTTTTATATAAACTAAACCCTTTCCATAATCACTGGTTCATAATTGCATGATTCCATCTGATATGTTAACAAATCACTATAAAAAAACCAGTAATGATACAGTATGGTTGTGAGTGTATCCAGGCATGTCAATTATTCACCTTAAAACACACGAGAACATATCCGAAATCCGCAAGTCTACAAACGTATCTTTTTGTCTTTGATGAAACTTGAAAATGTCCACCTCAGAAAGGCTAGTATGTTAACTAGAGGAAAACATCTGCCAAAACATTTGAATTGACTCTAAAATCTGAAGACATGTCCATTCCTCTTTTGCACTGGAGTTTACATTGAACAGGGAGATATACTGTAAGCGTCCAACAAATGTACCACGAACTATAACCACATTCCTTAATCCAATGAAGAAAGGACTTCCTCTCTATTCACAGAAAGTATTTCAGATAAGTGGAATTAATAGCATGTGGATTCTCAAACACTGAACGGACTTTCTTGATCCATGGGGGATAAGTCACTTAATATGGTGACCATAGATATAGTGACATCTCTAACTTCAATTCAGGACAATTTGTCAAAACTGAATGCTAACTGTATTCTGATGTTTACTGACAAAACAATTTGTGAAATGCTAGACATAGATCAATGTGAAATTTATGGATAGAACATTTTCGCAAGAAGTATGCAAAAATGAAAGTGCGACAATAAGCCTCGGTGGCTGAGTGGGTTAGATCGCTGACTTTGTGTGCTGGCGTTTAGGTGCCTCACACTGGCAGTGTGGGTTCGAATTCCAGACGGGACTTAACCCCCCAAAAGTACCAGAATTTGTACTAAGAAAGTGTTATCCAAAATATAACATTTGTTACATTTGCCCATTTTCTAAATGGCATTGTGTTTTCATTTGTGAAGATGGTGTGACTGGCATCCCAGGAAACAGAGATACAACTCCGGAAGGTAATATAATATACCGAACCTTGTCAGACCTCTTAACATAATGAGTTGTATAAATACCAAGGTTCATCCTTACCAGCGGATGGACCGGGTTAGAATAGGTCATCAGGAACCCATGAGTGTTGTAAGAGGGGACTAACGGGATCGGGGGGTCAGGTTCGCTGACTTGGCTGATGCAGGTCATCAAATACCATTTGCGTAGATCGATGCTCATGATGTCTATCAGCGCATTGTCTGGTCCAAGACCAATTATTTACTGACCATCATCACTTAGCTGGAAGTCTGCTGAATGCGGCGTTAAACAAGAAACAAACCAGTGGATCCGTAACGTTTCCACTTGCTAACTGGGCGGAATGTATGAGTGAGTGGGTTTGATTTAATGCCGCTTTGAAAAACATTTTTTTATACCACGTCCTGTGGGCATGATTTGGGAGGTAAGACGTTACCACTTTAAGGAATCTCACGAGTATGGGTTCAGTGAGGGACCATAATCAGAGCGAATCACGCATCGAAACCATTGATCATTGGTTTCTGGCACGCCTCTTGGACGAAACTCTGCACATTGAATTGCAGTGCCTCAAATGGCTGGGCCACTCGTGCTCCCCACGGAATTAGTACCTGGTTTGAAACAGTCTTGTCCTCATTTCATTTTGGACAGAAGTATCGTGTCTGTAACAAAGTTGGATGAATTGATGTTTTCCTTTTGAATTTTATACTTTCAGCTCTGAAATCATCCGAAACCACAACACAAGCAGTATCCACCTTAGGCGGTACTCACGGTAAGATACGTGTACAATGTCGACATTGTTGGGGGTATGTTGCTGCGGCCTATATAAATACATGTCTTGTGCATTTAATTTGGTGATTTAACAAATGGTGAAGATTTTCAATATTTCAGTAATATTACGGTGCACATCAAAAATGGACTTTACACATTGCACCCATGTGGGTATTTGAATCGGTCTTCGGCGTGATGAGTGAATGCTTTAACGACTAATATAAGCTACCACACCGCCCCTTCAGATTGGTGCGTTGGATGTTAGAATGTTAGATGTCATTGGAAATTTATGTTCTGAGAGAAATGACGTGACAAAAGGATCCATCGCATGATCTTTCTCACTTAAGTAAATGTTTTGTAAAATGACATTTATAAATACTCAAACTATGCATTTCTCATTCTTGGAATCTTGGAAACGTGCCTTAAGAAATGGTTTCCAGCTTCCTGAGAAACAATTCACCCGAACACACCCAGCATCACAATGTTAACAGACAATCTGGGTCATGCCGGTCGGCCTACACACGCAGCCAAACACATGATTTCCCCAGCCAACCCATTCTCTTTGGATGCTCAAAGGAGTGATATAACTCCAAGGATCGATGTTCTCCCATGGTTTGACGAACCTCCACGGATTGACACTCCTCTCCAGATCGGCGATCTTCCTCTGAACGTTACTCTTCCAAGGATCGACGATCAGAGGGTCGGTCATCTACTCATGGTCTTTCACAGAGTGTCCCTTCAGACTCCTCACGTATCGGTTCCGAAGATGAAATTGATACCGATTCCATTGGACACTCGTCGCACTTGCCTCATTCATCTTCTAATGATTTAACTTTCATCCCGTCGCAACAAATTCAGTCTCTCTTACTAGCTGTGACGTCAGCGTGCCTCCCTCAATCGGGTCGTACAACAGATACAGTAACTTCCGTCATGGCTTGTCTTCAGGCAACGACATCGACAACCGCACCTCTTTCTGCTGTGCTATGTGGATGATTTAATTGATCGTCATGCCACCCCTGCTTCTTCCTCAGGCAGTTTTTACACTGTGGATCTGGCTACGGGTTTGATTTGGATTATGGATAATCTCCAGCTTTCCAAAAGTACCTTGACCGAAGATGCTTTATCATCCTTTGTTGTTCCTTCTGCAATTTCGCCAAATATACTCGCACGCAAAAGAAACGCAAGTGGTTTTAAGCAAATAGGTAACAAACACGGAACCATAAATTGATACGAGTTATAGCATGTAGTGAAGCCTGGTGGTGTTATCAATATTTTGGTTGCATTTTGGAAGCCCCGAGTAAAAACGAATCGCCAACACGCACCATGTCAATTAATATGTGGGTATCATGCACCCATTTCTCGCGAAATCGAAAATGCAGGAACTGTACTTGTCACGAAATGTAGTGGGTATAAAACTGTGGCTGATTCTTGGACCTACCACTCCTTGGCCAACAATGCCACGCCTTACTCAAATTCAGAGAAACCAGGCTATCGGACGTTTGGAAACTGGAGAATCTCTCCAAGATGTTGCCCGTCATTTCAACGTTAACATAACCACAATTTACCGTCTCCTTCATCGATACAATGCTACACAGACCACAGATGACCTTCCTCGGAGCGGTCGTCCTAGGGTCACCACACCACAAGATCGGCAGATTAACCGTCAACACCAGCGACATCCGTTCTTAACTGCAAGTGAAAGTGCTCGACAGACCATTGGAACACATAATCGACACATTAGCCGGGACACTGTGATCCGACGTCTCCGTTCCAACAACCTCAGATGTCGCCGACCAGCACGTCGCCTTGTTCTCCAACCACAGCATCGACAAGCACGACTTCAGTGGGCACAGGGTCATCGCTATTGGCGTCATCGTGAGTGGAGGCGTGTCATCTTCTCTGATGAAAGTCGCTTTTGTGTCTCCCATGCAGACAGAAGAGTCAGAATTTGGCGGCGTCGAGGTGATCGTTACGCTGACAGAAACGTTGTGGAAAGGGATCCATGGGGTGGACCTAGCGTCATGATATGGGCAGGGATTGGAGATAATGCGAGACTTGGACCCATGTGCTTTCTGAATGTTGGTCAAGGTCGGGAACACGGCGTCACTGCTCAGCGGTATATCGACCAAGTGATCAGACCCCATGTTGTTCCATTTTTTTCACAACATCAACAACACATTTTCCATCAGGACAACGCTCGTCCCCATGTTGCCAGAGCTACCATGGCCTTTCTGCAATAACACAACATCCGTGTTCTACCGTGGCCAACCCTCAGCCCTGATCTGAACCCCATCGAACACTTGTTGGATGAGGTTCAAAGGCGTCTACATAATGTGCGCCCAGTCCCTACAACTGCCGATGAACTACGCACAGCTGCTCTGGATGTGTGCAGGAGGAAAACATCATGCTTAAAACTGTCTTTCTTCAGGCTTTCACGACGGCTGCTCGACTTCCAAGGTCTGCATTAATTTGGGCCATTGGTTTTCGGACAAAAATTCTCCAGGACACATCTGCGCTGATAGGGTGAGATGTGTTCCAGATCCAATTCTTTGTACTATGTATCTCTCCAGATACAATAAACCTTGACTTGATTCTTTGAGTTTATTATAATCTTTCCAGACTGAGCATCCAATTGGAGGATACATTCACTTCTCTGATCAAGAGCCTCGATCTTCATATGGAAGTCGCCGCTGGATCACAGTGTCCCGATCCTTTCTATTCCACTCACCTCTGTTTGGAGCATGTTTTCTTGTGTATTGGGTCGACAATCGTTTTATGCACATGGTCGATCGTACCACTTCTCATCCTAAACTATCGACTCCATCACTGAGGTATGATTGATGGTTTTGACTTGGCTTGTCCTATCGGCCATGGGAGATACAGATACCCCTGTCTTGTAGAGTCGATTGGCTGGATTCCATTTCCGAATCGATTATAAGTCTTACACTGTATTGTCTGGCCTTACAATTACGCTCCTTCACGTATGAAAGCGTTACACATATTGTGCCCTACTTCATGTGGTCCCTATGTTCATGTTTCAGGATCTCAGCACTCTTTGGGAGTGTTTTCCTCCCTATCCATGAGCTTTGTCTTATGACACTAGAGTGTTACGAAATATGGTTCTGTATCCCTTTAGAGGCTAGGCATTTGCGCCCCACCTTCCAACCGTTGGATAAATGCATATGATTACTTGCCCGTGAAGAGATCACCCATTTAATAAACATACAGCTTTATTACACATTGTGTAATACCAAAACGCGTGCTTATGTACTCTCGGAACACGTTTCACGAACAAATATTGAAAGCTCTCAACATCCCTTGGCGTATTCAACGACATTGTGTGTGGAGATGATAGATCACTGGGAGGAACTTATGCACACTTGATGACCCCAGCAACCTTGTTGCTAGGCTGACGTCACATGGCATTGTTTCGCCGATGGATCTTGCAACAAAATTCCACAAATTACGTCATCGGGTATTGTGACGTGATTGTAAACTTTGAGGTGCAAGGCCCCGTTCCACAAGGCGATCGTACTCTAGCGCAACGACAGTCGTTAGTCTAAGTTAAATTATGTGAGTTGTGATAGCCTTAGCACTACGATAATTTTGTGGGACGAACGCCTGAATTCTAAAGGTGGACCATTGTATGATATTAAATTCATACGTTTCAACATTTGACGTGTTTGAAGTATTATTCTGTTAAACTCAATTGGATTATGCCATGGATCGTGTAGGTGTCAGCCTATTTACACTCAACAGTATAATTTTAAAAACATTATAAATGACAAGTAATAAATAAAATACTAAACTCGCTCTCGTGTAAAACCAATTTTATGAAACTCGTGAATAGTTCTGGTATCTGACTCGCTTTCGCTCGTCAGATACCAGAACTATTCACTCGTTTCATAAAATTGGTATTACACGGGAGCTCGTTTAGTATTCTATATGTGTGAGATAGGATAAGTTTAATAATTTGTAAATTTCACAATAAATTGTATATTTATAATACTTATCGTATCTCACACGCTATATGTCCTCCCGTTCATCCCCGCATCACAAATCCACTAGCCTATTAGCTCTAGAAAAAGAATTAGTTGGCTGGGGAAATCATAAGTTCAGCGTTCATGTAGGTCGACCGCCACAAAAAGGTGCATGACCCAGAATGTTGGCAGGTGACCATTGTGATGCTGGGTGTGTTGTTTTTTCGATGCTGGAATCCTTTTGATTAGGCATGTGTCCACTTAGGGTCGAAAGAAGAATGAGAAATGCATATTGTGAGATGGGAGAAGTATTATAAATGTACAATTTATTTTTAGAAATGTACACGAACTACCACCAAAAGACTGCGTTGTATAAAAGCAGATTTAGGACAAACATACAGTGTTTTCAATGTAGAGCAAGGTTACCTGTAGATTTAACCGCGCTATATTGAATTTGTGAACCGAACGCGCATCGCGAGGTTTCGAATGTTACATCTAAATCTACAGGTAACCTAGCTCTACATTGAAAACACACTATGTTTATCTCCATTCTACCATGACTAAATAAAATGCGAACTCTTTGGTGCTAGCAAATATATTACGTGAAGTGGCATGGGTTGAGTTCAGTGATTTGAGTGGGTTGTCGATGTGAATTATTGATTCACCGACAACAGCCTCTAAACAAAATATGGCGTCGTATATGACAGGCAGTGAAAGCATATAAGCACGGCAACTTGGAAAGCTAACATGAGGTGAGTGAGTGAGTAAGTGAGTTAATGCTTTACGTCACATCGGCAATATTTCAGCCATATCGTGACGAGCTAACATGAGGTGGGCACCCCTGACGAGAACTAAGCAAGCTTTGCAAAACTTTCGTTCTACACCGCGCGTCACCATGATGACGTCATGTCGCTCATTGTGACGTAAAAGATAAGACGTCACAGTCCTATATGGAGAGGCGCCAAATTCCAAGCTCTCTGTTAAAATACTTAATACTTAAAATGCATTCTCTTTGTTGATTTCTATCATTTTTTCTGCACGGTATATATTGCCACACATCCTTTGAATATTGTAGTAACCGCCACTTTGCATTGTAACCTCTAATTGTAGGCATAATTATTTGAATACGCCTACCGAAAATGACTAAAAAAGTACTATTCTATGAATATTAGCTTCCGTGCTGGTGCGGCCGTAAAGCAAGCTGTTTCAATCCGAGAGGGTTTATTGTGATTTGAAAACCTCTGATTGACCAATCAGAATCGAGTGATTTCCAAATGCATGGTAGAATTAAGATTTGTATTCTGCTATGAATACGACCGTTTCTCTATAGGTGGTCGATACAGCGGTACTGGAGCTCCAAACATCACCATGCCTACCACATTCCCGGCAGTCATGAAAACACGTCAGTTGCAATGCCATGCCTGGTGCGAAGACAATCAAGAAGAAAAGCCGGCTGTGAATATTGACGATCTGGTACTGGAGCTCATCTTGCCGAAAAGAACGTTGTCAAAACAACGGCGGGCCAAGGGGAGTGCTTCTGACGACAGCCCAGTCGCCAAGTCCATTGGGACAAGCATCTTTCTGTTGTTTTTAACTCCTTACTTTTTCTTTGTTGGTTGGGATATACTGGATGTAATGCGCTATCTATTCCGATCTGACAAAGGGCCCCTTTCTAAAGCTTAGATACAAAGTTTACCATTTGATATTCTGGAGAGAAGGGTCGGGGTTGTGTGGGTGTGGGGCTTGGATTTTATCTAAAAATATTTGTCCTCGAATGTGAAAACAATAAACTAAACTAAAGTGGAAAAATAAGAAATTGACCACCACAAGAAATACATGATGGTGTTTTTCTTAAAAAAATAACTCTTGCTCAAGGTTTAAAATTTTTTTATCTGGTTTTGTAGATGTAGCTTGAAAATTATTTGCTCTCGATATAGAATACTCCAGGTCGGTCCCGTAGTAGCTGAGGCTTTGCCAGGAGTCGCTGGACCAGCTTGGTATGTCAGCACCAACTCCTTGATCGTGGGTCTCACCAAAGTGGTAACATTTAAGAATAACATTGCTTCAGCAGATCATTATTGAATATTTTTAGTACTACATTGTTAAGTTCCGGGCAACGAAAGTATACACTAAGTCTTGTAAATTGGATTTGACACAAAATTACAAACATTATCATACCGTTACAAGGCTGAAAACAGTCGCCGAAACACTTAAGTTTTAAAACACAAATGTGAGACACGTATCAAATACTTGTACGTCGCCATCGAATAACAATTTCTTGTAATTTTCAATTTAATCAAACAACCGTCAAACATAGATGTATTCCTCCTCTTGCCTGGCAGTTTGCACTTGAGTGTCAGTAGTATATTTTGCACTTTTTGCAAACACTTGCGTCACGTTTACTTGATTACCATATACTAAAGACGCGGATATCACCTGATTCCTAAATCAATAAATAAATGAGTTGAGGTAAAGTGTTCAAACTAACCACAGTGATTGAAAAGTATTCCCATATTGTGAAGACATAATTTTGTATATTAAGTTTGTGATTGTGTGTAAGGTCAAACAGTAAATATTTCTGACTTATTGATATATTTAATATATTTTGTGTATCAAAAGACAATAATTTCCTTTTTTAAAAACACCAGCTTCTGTTGACACTGCTCCTTCTAGACTTTGTCATTGTTAATGATAGCATATGTATATTAGTAGGATCTGTTATTTTATATATTGCATGCACTGCAAGAGATTTGTTATGGACTGCAAGCGTGTGACAAAACATGACTGCAGGGGTCAGATTTCTGGCCTTAATTATTGATACCCCAACAAAGCTGGAGGCTATGTATCCTTGAACCTTGTCAAGACCAGTTGAATTATACATGTTGGATATGTAACGAGTACAGTGCGATAAACAACTTCGGATCGATGTACATTAAGCACAGTTACTACTTGCTTTGTTAGATCTACAAAGAACATCTCAACAATGATAAAAAAAATACATTATCAGAGACAAAGCAAACTGGGAGCGACACACTCACAGAACTACATGTATGTTCAATATGTAATGTTGCAAAGACTACACTCACATCACGATGCCAAGAGACATGGTTGCGTTGTATTCGTTGGAACACAATTGTTATGACAGATGAACAGGGCCATCCACGCATGAAAAGTCAAATTTAGTCTCCAACTGTGCTTTGTTATTAGTGTATTCCCTAGTGTCAGTCACATAAAGTTCCAACTGCTTTGTGAGTGTATTCTCTAGTTTCAGCAGTGACTGATTCTTAGTATGATAGATACGTTTAATTATTGATAATGTTTTCTTCGATCACTCAACCATAACCTCCTTTAGATAGAAAAAGTCACGGCTAAGAAATGAACTATCAATTGCAACATGGAGTTAAGCTCATTTAAATAATGGTCTCTTGGGATATATGTTACGATAAGCCTGGAATTCATTTTGTGAAGTGATTGTTTTTATTTTTGAAAAATACTTTTGATAATATTATCCATCAAATGTTGTTCGTTTATAAGCATTGATCTTTTGGGTTGAGTGCATGCTTTGCATAATCGATATATTGCATTTAGTATCATTTTGTTATTGACCCCCTTGGAGATTTCAAGTTAGCACAGGTCCCCAGAAACCTATGTTGGTCGTTAGAGGCGATCGGGTGGATCGCCCCCTTTTTATACCCTCTCTTTAACCAGGGCACCTTCTCCTCGAACACGCCTTTTGAATAAAGCATAATTTAGCAGTACAGTGTCGTGTTTCTATTTTACAAATTTCAACTGCATTGCACCGATTGCATATTGACTTAGCATGCTTGCCGTAAAAAGGTGACTATGCTTGTCGTAAAAGGCGACTAACGGGATCGGGTGGTCAGGCTCGCTGACTTGGTTGATGCATGTCATCGATCCCAATTGCGTGAATCGATGCTCATGATATCAATCACTGGATTGTCTGGTCCAGACTCGATTTATTTACAGACCGCCGTCATATAGCTTGAATATTGCTGAGTGCGGCGTTAAACAACAAACCAACCAAACAACCATATTGACTTAGCAACGTATACTTTATTGCCATGGCAACATTTCCCTGATACGAGAGGTGGCTGACACGTTCTGAGACTAACTATGTGCGTTGATGGAGTTACTTGCCAATGATGTTTCAACATAATCCTCTCCGAGGCCCACAAGTCTTTTGCCAACGATGTCTTGCGTAGAAGGCTTAGCTCTTGTAGTGTATAAAGACCCAATATCGGAGATGACGTCATCATCACTGCACAATGCTTGCCAGGTAGTGCTTTCTTTAAGTTTGGTTAGGGGCGGAAATCTGACGGTGCCAAATCTGATGAATACTGAGTTCAATGTCAGTCATGCAATGCAGCCATGTCGACAAGAGACATGTGCACAGGTGCATCATCCTTGTGGAACAACACACCTTGTGGGACTTTTCCACGACGTTAAGCTTTGATATCCTAACGCAGTTGCCTTAGCAGATGGCCATAATGGTATGATCTCCCGGGAGGTAGTCCTCCAGAGAACCGAAGCCATCACTTTGCCAGCTTGTGGAACAGACTTTGCCTGCTTCGGAGGAGGGGCGTTAGAAGCGTTCAAGACTTTGCCTGTTTTTTCGAATTCGTCCCTGACGGATAGTGGTTTAACCCAAAACACAACCGTGGTTACAAATCTCTCAACAAAACTAGCTGGGTCTGTTTCATAACGACTCATGGGTCAGATGCCTTGAAATCTAGCGTGCTGAAACCTTTGTCATGCCCAGTTCCCTCGTCAGAATGTTGTCAACTCTACTATGAAAGATGCCTGTTGTATTGGTTATGTGACGTGTGATACGTCATGCATTACAGTTCTTCAGTTATGAGTGAGTGAGTGAGTTAATATTTAAAGTCACATCGGCAATATTTCAGCCATATCGTGACTAGAACAAGTTATAGGATATATAAATAAACTGTCGTCAAAGGGCGGTACAACAACTAGCAATATATCACAATTATAACTTTAAAACTAGTTTAAAAACAATAAAATGATTGGATTATGACAGACGACACATTATAAAAACAGGCTATTGATCACCAACAACAAATGTTAGGCCGCCATACCAGGGACCATGGGGACTTACAGTACCTTTGCTACCTGCGTGGACCCCGGCAGGATTTACATAATTCCTTCATGTATCAGTTACTGGTGATTATAGAGAAATTTAGCCAAAATTAAAACAAACAATTATTCTTCAGTTATGACTCAGCATGACGTGTCTTCTGTTCACCCTTGTTCACACAATGTCATATATTGCTTGACAATATAAATGATTGACAATAAGTGTGTTTCTGCATGGAAAGCAACACGCAGGAACGCATCCTAGTTGTAAACAAATATATACCTGTACACAAATAATGGAGAATGAATGAATAATATAATAAATAATGGATTTCAGTCTCACTAGAAGGTCTTATAACTATACCCTTTTCGCATAATGATGTGTTTTACGTCCATTCGTATGACGCGGCCGGGGATAGAACCATCGACCAGTCACTCTCCGGCTGGACGATCGTTTGCTCTATCCACGGAGGCGGTCTTTATATCTAACTTAACAATACACAGATCGAAAGTGCACAGGCAAATATGATTCAATTGGTCGTTGTATTTAAACATTTCTTTTCGTGATATCACTTTCGCGTTGATAGTTGTATGTAGCATTGTGTTCACAGTTGTCTTATTTTCTTGTAACTCGCCATTGCATGGATAACCCTCTGGGCCTTGCCTTTGTAATTAATACATCGAATAGCGTCGGTTAAGGCCTGGGTATCATCACTATTTCATAGTGATTCATAAACACGTGCTAAGGATATAGTCGAAATCATGCAATCGTCTATATCCTGTATTAGGAATATACACTGTATTTAGCGAGCATTGGTGTGCCAAATACAGCTTATTCGTAATACAGGATATTTACCATCCAAAACACATAAACGTGATGATCTCTTTATCGTGTAATGACATTTAAATTCTTAAAAAAACTTGTTCTCATATCTCACAAACATTACCTGAAAAAAGCAAGTTGAATGAATGAATGAGTGTATTCCGTAAAGGGGCCACCGGCCCATTATACAAGGTACATTGGATTAGTCAGTTCACATGTACAGAGAGCGCAGAGAGCAACGAGCAAGCGGTCAACACTCATCGGAGTGCTGAGGATGATGCACAAAAGGTTACTGAGGCCAGTCATAACCCACAAACGCCCCTCAAACACACACTGGCAAGAACCAGTCTCACATTGTTACAATGGCATAGTGCTACATAACAGGCACATCTTTAAGAAGAGTTCCTTTTCTGGAGAAGTTTTCTTGAATGCTCGCATTAATATGTTACGTCAGTGGGACAGTGACAACAGTCAATATAGTTCCAGCATTTCATTTAATGAAAACTGTTTGTCAGGCAGTAGCATAACTACAAATGGGCAAAATAGGAATTGCCTACACATATTGGTTCTCCTTGCCTTTCGCGGCAATCCATCGGGCCGCCCATTAGAGTTATAACTGCCATTTATCAAAAGGAAGCTACTCTCACCCTTCATATTATGATGGTTTGACACTTTCGTATTCAAACCGTCACAATATCTAGAATTAGCACTGGGGAATTAGCTCGGGATCGGGCACCACCTTCAAAGAAACCAAACAAAGTGTCTATGGCCAGCTCCTTTATTGGGGATTTCTCGACAGTGAGATACCCCCGGGGCAAGCCAGTATATATACTCTAGACACCTTGAATGGTCACGAATTTACTGCATGTTCAATTATTAGCTTGATAAGAAAATTTGTGTTCATGCGCCGAGAATAGGGATTAAGGCTTTCCTAAGAAGTTTGACCCACTGACGAATGTTGGGTCGAAGGCCATTGACAGCTACGGCAACGATGACAGATGCCGGCAGCTTCAGGTGGATGGTTGCTGTCTCGACCCGGGTGATGAAGGTGTTGATGGATTCCTCCTGCTCCTGGGCCAACTGTAACAAACTGACATCAAAGGCTGATGATTTCATAAATCCTTTGGTGAAGGCTTCTTTCACCTTAGTCATATCTAGCCTGTCACCCTCAGGGAGAGTTTGATACCACAGCTTGGCTGCACCTTCAAGATAAAATGGCATGAGTTGACACTTCTTCTCATCATTATAAGAGAAGAAATTGGAAAAGTTAACAAAGTCATCCCACCACGTTTGGGCATTCTCAGTTCCTGAGAACTGTGGCAGTTTGGTGTGCGGCATGGGTGTTGACACCTGGCTGATGGAGGGTATTGATGAAGATGTTGATGTAGATTGAGATGTAGACGAGGTGGCTGCTGTTGTGGAAGTTATTGATGTGGTTGTAGCAGGTGACACAAGGATCGGCGTTGATGGTGACTGTGAGACTGGAGCTTGATGAAGCAAACTGGTCAGGAGGGCCCTTGGCTCGGGCCTTCGCGGCTTCTCTCGGTAGTTTGAAGGGGTGTATCCGGTCATCTAGAATTCAGGTCCACAATTTATGACAGTTTGACACTTTCGTATTCAAACGGTCACAATATCTAGAATTAGCCTTGGGGAATTAGCTCGGGATCGGGCACCACCTTCAAAGAAACCAAACAAAGTGTCTATGGCCAGCTCCTTTATTGGGGATTTCTTGACAGTCGACTCACATTTAAAATAAGAAATATTTTTACATATAAAGTACAAAGTCATATAGAACATTTACAGTTTCCATAAAAGAAGCACTTATCACAATAGTGCGTGATATTAAACAACGGTTATATATAAGAGTGTAGATTTCATGATATACAAATGTATCATGAGCAAAGTGATAAAACAACCAATTACAAATAACAGTATTAAAGTCAGTCTACATTGCAAGATACCTGTGAACAAAGCTTACATAATCTTATGTGATACTTATTTTCAGCCACTCCTAATTATGATTACGCCTTGCTGAATGGGACTGCCATAAGGTATATCTCATTTACGTATAAACCTAGTTAAACCCAATATCGGTATCGAATGTACGCAGATTTAAATATAAATAACAACATGCGTTGGCTGTAACTTCTGAGCATATATCATTCATTGTTTTATGCTGGAATGCCATATCTATAATTTATCTAAACTACCGCAGCAAACAAACTATATCTGATAGCATCCACATACACTGAGTTCACGGGTCCATTAACAAATGTCCATTCACATTACTGAATGGTATCATGTATGGATATATGTACATTTTAGGCATTGCTCGTAATGTAGACATGTTTGCTGAAGTTGTGTTACAAATGCATTATGCTCAGACCTCTGTAAGTACAAGAGAGTTACCTATCTTATTTGAACATCGCTAACAGATTAACTAAATGATTACATGGATGTTATTACTGATTTTAGCTCAGGCTTAGTTGTGCTATTAGCATAAATATGTGTGATGTGAATACGTCATATATTAGCTACAGAAATTAACGTCCCCACATTAAAAGATAATGTACATACCTCGTGTGATATAAAAGGTCTGATCAAAGTGAGATAGTTCGTCTGCATTTTCACGACATTTTCACATATACAAAATAACTGAATCACACTTAAATATCAACACGCAGATAAAATACACAGCTTGCTACCACGACACCCGAGTGTTAACATCTTATTTCCGACTCGGAACATGTTTGATATTCAATATATGCTATACTGTGGAGTTAATACTTCAACGATAGTTTTGTCTAAACCTAACGC